CTAAATTTGAAGATTGCCAGTACATACCTTTGTAAAGAGTGACCTTGTCGTATGAACAAGGGTAGCTGGCCTCTATTCGGGAATCCTCCACCTGTATCTTGATAACACCCTCACCAGAAGGGTTGTAGATAAGCCAGTATGACGCTTCGTTGCTAATGGAATGCACAACATAATGCCAAATTGACAAATTACATAAACACAAACAAAACATACAGACATGTTAGAAGAATCTAAATGCAAATTTAAAATTCATAAAACTAGGGAAAATATGAGCTTAAATAATTACACAGAAACCGCCGAAAAATTGTAAGGATAATACGAACAGGTGTTACTAAAGGATGAGCGTTCTTTTCTTCACCCGCCATGTAAATCATGGTCAATTCAAGAAAGTAATATCGCGTCCTATTTGAGGAATAGAACAACATTGAAGTGGATATATTCCAATAAAATCATAGTGGTGATGATAAAGTGCCTACACCATTTTTGTTTCCTTGGAGTTAATCAAGCAAATACGATTTAGGTAGATGCTGAAAGTCATACCTGGAGTAGTTATTTGGGTAGTTTGCCGAGGTGAAGTACTGTACAGTAGTCGTTGCGTTTAGATTCGTAATATTTTTCCCAGTGTCAACACATGACGGGGTGTCTGTAATTTAATGAGGTCTACCACTTTACTTACATACATCGTGTAATAAAGCTGTAATATAATCATGTCACTAGGATTTAACAAATCAGTCCATAGGGATCTCTTGGACAAGGAAATAGATATCTAATAATTCCATACCTGACAGAGATACAACTTCAAAATACATGATTTCAGTGAGTGAAATCCTTATAACTTTCAATCATATCCAAAAATTACGAGATCACATCATTGCTTACTGGTACAAATTAGTGAATATATTAAGTATAACAGACCGTGTGTGGTAACAGTATACTGGAACTTAAAGCCCCTGTCTGATGCCGAGCCATCGGATGTGAACACTATGAGAATACTTGTTCCGGTACTGTTAACGCTCTGGAACGAACTCCCACAGAAACTAGCCAGGAGGGGATAATTTGTGGAGGGACCTTTCAAAGTATCAAGAATGTGTCATGTTAAAAAAGAATGGTGCATAATGTCAAAATTATATGTGTCCATTTTCTGCTTCAACTTAAAGCAACATAACATTGGATCTTTAATAGCATAATACAATGATATGTTTCCGTTATACAACTTAAATACATTTAATAAGATGTTTCGGTGATATTACATAGTAGAATCTTTCATTAATATTACATAATAACATGATGTCTTTCAGTGATACTATATAATGTAATATTTTTCAGCGATATTAGATAATTTAATTGCATGTTTCAGTGATATGACACAAGAAAGATGTTTTTACCCGACACTATCAATATTAATTTTTTTCTTTGTTTGAAGATCATGAAACTCAATATTATATATAATAAATAATAAATAGTGAAATCGGTATCATTTACTTAAATTTTACGATAATAGGTGACATACCGTCATACAGAGAGACCTTATCACCGCTACACTCATCACTATTCTCTAGTGACGAATCAACTGCACTCAAAGATATTTGTTCCCCTGACGACGCCTGTATCAGCCAATTACAGTCCAGGTTACTGCGGAAACAAACAAGTGAAGATAGCCAACACCGATTACGATAAGAGTAAGTAATACACGCAAATAAAAAGGAATTTATGTAAGAAGCTTTTGGAAAAAGATCGTATCATAGTTGCTGAAACCTTGGCATCAATGTTTTCAAAATTAAAAAGAGTCGTCTGAACAGAGCAGAAACTCAATTCCTTGTCCCCTTTCCCCACTAAGTGAGCACGTTTTCAAAGCTTGGGAATGTGTCTTATTCATGTTTATAAATTCATAAATCTATATCATCACCTATGTCCTTAAACTTCAACATTATGCTCTTGCAGCAAAACGATTTTAAAATCCAGTCATAATTCCTTGTCATTATACCAGCTATATATCATCACTACAACCCTATGTTAGTATTGTCACAACTCTACAAGGTATGCTTACTGTCCATAGAATTCTGGGTAACCCGGCGTAGTGATGAACCCTGATGACCCGGAAGCAGCAGCGACGGTGATTGTGCCGGAATCGCATGAAGAGGGGGCTGTGTATGTCGTTGTAGCAGCGAGAGGGGAAGCAGATGTGGCGGCGACTGGATTAGCAAATAGAAAATAGCAATAGTGATAACAAGTTAGATGTATTGCCGATGTGTCAAATATCCGATATATGCCAATACAACTTCACAAATCTCAACATATAAATCACACCTCTGCTAATTCTTAGTATTTAGTTTTTAATCCAGTTTTTCCTCCATTCTTTACCGAGTTTATTTTCACTTCTGATATTTTTTGTCATCTTCATCATCGCTCAGCGATAATTGTTGTGCGCAATCGTTGCCATACCTGTTGTTGCGGACGACGCAGACTCATTGTAAGACACAATAAATCCAGTCCTGACAGACTCCATGACAGCCGTACTAAACTGTATAAAGGCCTTGTCTGCAGTGGTGGTCACTGTTGTTGCGTCAGTGAAGGTCGTTCGGTCAGTGCTTAGACTTACTAGTTGACTAGCAGTATTGTCAGAACCTAAACAAACCAAAAAAGTTTAAAATCGTTAGTCCTCCGTTTCTGTTTTGTTTATTTCTCATCTGAATTGTATAATTGCTAGATTAGACCTCTGAGTATAATTTTTTTTTCTTCTAGAAAAAAAAACATGTTGATGCTACAATGTTGAAACCATTTCATCATACCATTTTGATAACTAGAAATGTTAAGATCTGTTCTTTAAACCCCTCTCAGTATCTAGAATTTCCGTTTGATCAACTATGACCAAACTATATGTAATTGTGTAACTCGCCGTCATAGATCGTGAGTGACTCCTCCCCCGCGATGTCCAGGAATACCACCGTGATGGTCAGTGTGCTGGATCCACTGCTAGCGCTAATCAACCACGTACATGTGGAAAACCTGATATGATTAATGACAAATTAGTTTTTCATAATTGATTAATCACAAATCCCATTAAAATCATTTTTCAACGTCTGTAACAAGAATTTAAAATCATCCTTTTCTAAACTCCATTATGTAAACGGGAAATTCATATATTAAAACATAAAGGCAAATGTAATAATAACCTTTTATTTCAGGGTTACGATATTTTGAACTTCAGAGAATTAGAAAAAAAATTGGCTTTACACTAAACTTAACATGATCAATATTCCATGACGAGAAAGTACATACGCGTCCTGTTGACTTGGGAAGTCTGGTGACGTCAGATAGGTCAGTGCCGTACTTGCTGTCAAGGATACGGTACTTGTACACGCTGTAGATGGCGCTGTCAACATTAAGATTGCATATACAAAAGTGATCTACATTATATTTATTCAAGTTTTCTTACATTAGATTTTGCATATTTCAATAACAGAGACGCTTGTGTTGTGTATGTTGAGCTACACAAAGCTAATTATGTGTCCTCTTTGCTATGGTTTTGCATTCAGATCACCAAATACTGTTATGTTCAAACACTTGGCAAGTTCAGAAATAATTATTTCAAAAACACGGTAACTCTCTGTCTTCTAAATCCTCCCAGTCCTCCCAATACCTGTACATTTGTTCAAGGAGTTCTATGTATTGGGATGCTTAGAATCAGGTTTAAAGTTTCGCTTACGGATAGGTATATATGTATGTATATATATATATGTTTGTGTGGGTGTATGTGTGTGTGTACAACTCTTGTTTTACCTAAAGGTAGGTTTATGTGTGTGTACAGTAAATATAGGTTTCTCTACAGGTAAGTTTATATGTTCAGCAATTCCAGTTTTACCTACAGGTAAGTGTATATATATGTGTGTGTACAGCAGCTTTAATTTTTACCTACAGGTAAGTACATATATACAGCAATTTCGGTTTTTACCTACAGGTAAGTATATGTATGTGTACATCAATTTAGTTTTACCTACAGGTAAGAAAATGTAAGTGTACACCAATTTAGTTTTACCTACAGGTAAGTATATGTATGTGTACATCAACTTAGTTATACCTACAGGTACGTATATGTATGTGTACACCAATTTAGTTTTACCTACAGGTAAGTATATGTATGTGTACATCAACTTAGTTATACCTACAGGTAAGTATATGTATGTGTACACCAATTTAGTTTTACCTTAAGGTCGGTGTATATACGTGAACAGCAACTCTCGAAATGCAAACATCTGTACGATGCATTTAAATTCATATTTTGACTCTTGTTTATCTCATTCCAAATTTGGATTTCTTATTTACGTTGGTGTCTTTTGTACGATGCTCTTGTAAAATCGTCGAGATTGCATTTGGTACACAGTGCTGAGTTTCTGTAGCTTGTATGACTTAATAAATTCATGCGTGACAAGGCTTAGAATTAAAGTTTAGTTAGAGTTCTTCTGGAATAATCAAATATGAAAATTATGAAAATTGAATACTGGTGTCAGTGCAAATTATTGTCTAGCTTTTGACATTCATTTCGACCACTTTAGAATTTCTCATTCACCTTCCAGGTTTTAGCAATTTAGACAATAAGCATCGCTGACAGGACGTAGTAGGACGAAACAGCTGTATGATGCAGTTTAATTCATTATTTGGTTCTACTGAATACAATTATGAATCTTTTATTGAAAGTCACTCTTCATTTATATCACCTTTTCAGGTTATGTACGTGGATACACAAAGTCTTACTTACTAGTAGGCTTGTATTTCAGGTATCGCACGGAGAACCCCGTCGCCTGTACACTGGAGTCGGATTTGAGTCTGAGCAATGCGAACTGACCGCTCATCAGGTACATACGCCCTGTTGGCAAACGGTTACAAATCCGTCCCAGGAGGCTGGCACTGGTCGAAGATCCTGCGACGTGATAAAGTCATCGATTTGTTATACACCGGAACACAATGTAAACTACATATCTTTTACTAAGTGATTGTATTCATTGGTTACGTATGTATTTGTTACGTTACTGTCTGCCTATAAAGATACAGAGATTAATCAGCTTAAACTGAGTGACATTCACATGTCCATTGACCGTCACTACCTCACCATGTATCCGTAAAAAGGAAGGAAGCTCACTCACGTGAATTTATCCTATATTTTTTTTTATATATTATATATAAATAAAGCTGCAACAAAAATATTAACTCTTAAGAATTAATTATTATGATACTTTATCCATAATGAAATAAATAATTTGACAATTTAACATCAGGTTTCCGTGCTGAATCTATAAACGGTCATATTGCCGTCTTTAACGTCATGTTTCCAGTTAACGGCTATTATTTCAACTTGGAATAAAAAAAGCACATCTCATAGGAGAATTGACCTCACATTGCGACCATTTATATTCCAAAAGTACACAGCTTCGCCTTGTCCCATATAAATAGGACTGACATTCTAGATATCCTTAGTCCGGCAGTAACTAAGCGAGTAATTGCCAGCGAGTCATTATAGATAACAATCAGTATTTGATTCAGGATTTTCGAAAAGAAAATGGAAACATTTCCCAATCGCTTCAATAACTGAGTCTTCAAGGTACAATATTGCTATACATATGGTGTGTATCTCTTAACAAATAAACGGTCAAAGAGTTCCTTTTCCGATAGAATTTTTGTTGTTCGGTTTTATATGTCAGATAATATTCCTTTCTCAATGAAATTAAACCAAATTGATTATTTTCTTTTATGTTACTGAAGTATTATATTAAATTTTATTCTGTAATGTCGCTTCGAGCCTAACCATAATACAAGATCTTAGATTTAGGATAAATACAACAGAATAGGTAGTCTAATCTACAATCAACAGTCCTCTCTTATATTTTGTTAATCATCCATGTTCAGAAATGACCAGCAACCTTACCGTCGTAGATGGACAGTCCATCGTACGAACATCCGGGGCTATTTTCAATACTGAGATATGTCACGTCTACAAGGACACGGAAAGCTGTGTCAGTATCCGAACCATTTATAAGCCATTTGCAGTCCATGCTTCTGCAATATAAACATGATAATGTATTATTAGGTTTAATACGGACAGATATAAACAGAACTGAATTCCCAACTTTTTATAAATTTATTTAATATTTTTACTTTTCTAATATTCCATAAAACATATGTGATACGGCAATTGCTAAATTTTGCACATGTATTACCGTGATGTGGAGAGGACATTGATAAGATGAGGTAAATTACGTCCTATCATGTAATATTTATGCAATAAGATTCGTTTCAATTAAAAAAGAGGTTTTTATTTCAATTTCCTCCGCAAATGGTACTTGAAAAATTGGAAGAAAAAAAAACAGAAAAAAAAAAAACCCAAAAAAAAAACAAAAATGAGAATAATACTACCGTCCACTCAGGGAGTTTGTTTTATTATGATATATTCACATCATTCACTAGGACTTCTAATATGTAAGAAAACAGTAGTGGAGATATCGGACATTCATAGCGTTATAACGATTTCACTTAAACATCAAAGTTCTCACTAGAAATAGGAAACACTCTACTCGAGTGAGGACAGACAATGGCCATTCTGACACAGGGTATTTCTACTAAATCTCTGTCAGAAAACAGACACTCCCAGTGAGTAAAGGTTACTGGTATCTCTACTCACTGAATATTCTCACTGTTGGTATATACAATAAGCTAGAAACCCTCTACTCGAGGGAGTACGGGTATTCGACTCTCCACGAAGTATCCCCACCACAAGTATTAAGGATTTGTAAGAAAGTCTGTACCCCAGAGAGTGTGCAATCGACATTTCTACTAAATCTTCCCATCACTAGTACTTACGTGTAGTAAGAAACCCTGTGCCCCAGAGAGTGTGTAATCGACATTTCTACTAAATCTTCCCATCACTAGTACTTACGTGTAGTAAGAAACCCTGTACCCCAGAGAGTGTGTAATCGATATCTCTACTAAATCCTCCCACCTTTAGTACTTACGTGTTGTAAGAAACCCTGTACCCCAGAGAGTGTGTAATCGACATTTCTACTAAATCCCACCATCACTAGTACTTACGTGTAGTAAGAAACCCTGTACCCCAGACAGTGTGTAATCGATATCTCTACTAAATCCTCCCACCTTTAGTACTTACGTGTTGTAAGAAACCCTGTACCCCAGACAGTGTGTAATCGACATTTCTACTAAATCCTCCCACCTTTAGTACTTACGTGTTGTAAGAAACCCTGTACCCCAGACAGTGTGTAATCGACATTTCTACTAAATCTTCCCTCCACCAGTACTTACGAGTAGTACGAAACCCTCCATCCTGGGGAGTATAAGTATTGGAGATCTTGTGTAGCTATCTCTTCCGATTCTGCCCGTCGGTTCACTATGTCACACGCACCAAACACTGTTCAAAGAGTAGTAATCAATTTATACTTGAAACTATGTAGTTTTATGATGAAATATCAAAGCGTATGGACTTGTCAGTGTGAAGCCTCTAGAGGCGTGTCGTAGTTATCCCTTCAGCTAGTTAACGTTATCTAATGCTGCTGCTTGTACCGGCACCGAAAGGGATTTGATACGTCAACGACAGGGATTGGATACGTCACCGAGAGGGATTGGATACGTCATCGAAAGGGATTGGATACGTCATAGAGAGAGATTGGATACGTCACCGAAAGGGATGGGATACGTCACCGACAGGGATTGGATACGTCACTGAGAGGGATTGAAACGTCACCGAGAGGAATTGGATACGTCACCTAGAGGGAACGGATACGTCACCGAGAGGGATTGGATACACCACCGCGAGGGATTGAATACGTCACCGAAGCGGATGGGATACGTCACCGAAAGGAATTGGATACGTCACCGAAAGGGATTGGATACGTCACCGAGAAGGATTGGATACGTCACCAAAAGGGATTGGATACGTCACCGAGAGGGATTGGATACGTTCAGAAATAGCTGTAATATTTATTTGGCATTGTGCATTTGACAAGTTATTTGTATGAAACGAAAAAAAACAAAAACAAAAAACAAAAAAAACAAAAAAACAAACTATTATTGACAATAGGTGTACACAAATAACTTCAATCAATCGAAGACATAATTTGCTTTCAGATAAAATCATTAACTTGATAGTCAATAGTAAATGAATACACCATACTATATCGCTCGATATATACCAAATTTAAGATTCTGTATATCTGTATAGACTTACCTTGGGCGATAAGCATAAACAACAACAGACACGATCCAACAGCCTTCATGGTCGTTCCTAGGGAAAGAATTGCGATAACAGTTCAGTCAGAAGATATGGTTTTTATTCTATAACCACACTACATATATTGTGTTCCTGTACAATGCTTAGCAGTTCTGTACAGGTAATTGTCGGTTAGGTCGTTTACACATAGCCAATAGCTACAACTTCTATTTGAATTCATATTAATGTTTTTCAATACGTGTGTCCAAAAATAAAACTGGAGCCTTAATACATACCAGGTGACATCATTTCCTTAGTTGTATCTGCCCTGAAATATTTCTGTCCAATTTGTAGAATATTCTGAGCTTGGTTACTGACCGGAATGGTCGTGTGTGTTATTATTTACTGGTCAGCACACGGACTAGCCACCCGTACACACACAGCGGTCGTTATCATGTCGACAATAGAAATGGAAGTTTAAATCGAGCAAAGAGCGAACATTGTTTTCGTCAATACCTTCTCATGATGATGAAACAACCGTATTGTAATAGGTCGTTATCGTATTTTTTAACTGTTACAAATAGCGTTGTTTGAGCGAAATGCGTGTTTGATTTACAACTTACGATCCAATGTCCAGTTTAAATCCATAGGGTTCTCAAGCCAGTTGACCACGACAAATCCCAACAACAATACTTAACACAATAGAAATAGTCCAACCGGCTATAAACACGCATGGACAATAGTGTATATTATAAGTCAATATGGCCTAAATTTAGACATCATGTCACCACTTTCTTTTTCAGTTTTTGTAACAAATATGAAAACATGAATTCAAACATTTAATGGTCATGGACATTAAATGCATTGATAGAAAATGAATCCGTTTCTATGTTAAAATAACCATCTTTCAACTGTTTCGATATGTATGTGTATAAATACATTTTACTTACACACATGAGTGAACCGTAGATATGTACCTAGGTTGTATATAGCTTTATCTAATGGTATATATTATGTACACTACACTTACTATATGGTATAGTCTCTAGTACTCGATTCTGAGTAGATCTAGGTAGGTGTGTGCTTGTTAATCAATATCAAAACCACTGACAAAGTATTACGAAGACATTTATTACAATGTATGTCTTTCCGGAAGTAAAATAGGGATTCAGTTCTGTTTTATTTATGTTATTAGTTTTAGTCTATATATCTACGAAATGGAAAATATACAAATATATTTCTTCTTTTTTTCCCAATTCAATATCAATGATATCTTGAGATATTCAATTTTTGAATTAAAGAACAAACTAAATGTAAGACAGAAGATATCACCCCTGTTAAAAATCCATGTATTTTTTATAAGATAGTTAATTCTAGAAAACCTCTGGCGGTGAAATAGGACAAGTTTTCATCGGTGAAGAGTTATTGAACATACCTAGAGAATAACCCCTCTTCAAGTTATTGTAGTCTTGGTACCCATATTTTTAAATGAGACGTATGTGCTTTCAAACAGAAACGACATTGTGGAAGACTTGTGGAAGATTTGTTTGTTTGGTAACCCTTACACCTCATTTCTGTTACAATATCTTAGTTATCAAATTGTCAGATATTTTGGTGTTAAAATTTTGATGTGAAGCTTTATTTCGTTTCGATATTTCAATGATTCAATCATAAATTAAGCTCCCATGCCGTTCTTCACTCCCTCGGTAAAGATTTCTTTTGTTTTAAGAGGTAACAACCATAATAATAAGAAAAAAAGAACTCATCCCTCCTTCACACACATATACATATAAAACATAAAATATCCCACGATAGCAACCCCACCCCCTTAAAAAACCCAAAACCACAAAATAAAAACAAAAAACAAACAAACGAACAAAATAAAAAAAAAACCGATTAATTATGTAGCAATTTAATTTGAGGCCAATGTATCCTGACTTAGCATGGAAATTTTCGTACTGATGGGTTAAGTATAAGGTTCTGACCATTGTCCAAAGACCACAGTGACACCACTGCATTCATTAGCAATAGCTTGTTGTTTACTCTCTCTCTATCGATTTTAATACAGTTAAAAGTTTACCCACACTTAAACATATTCGGATTACCTTGATCCTTTGACCACACTCATACAGGGTTGTTAAATCGGAGATTAATGGTGCGGATATGTCGACACTGCATGTACGATCTGCTCCCAGAGAGTTTACTGCTATATACGTGATGGATAGGTGAGTGATAAAGTAACTAAACTTTACCGCATCAAATTAAGAAAAAGATTTCTGCTTCACTGAAATTCAACGCGATATTCAGAAATCTTCGATTTCAAATTATGAAACATACATTGCCGACTTTCCTATCAATACTTTTTGTTTTAGGAGCTGAGCCACAATACAGTGCTTTTTGTTGGAAGGGAATAGAATGATTTCATGGGACCTACTTATCAATGGCGAGAGACGTGTTTTTGGTACTTCTGATATTTAGTATTGTTCATCTTCAGTATGTGTGTGGTAAGTGTATGTGTAGGTAGATTAATCATGGCTGTAAGCTTTCTCATAAAGCTAGCCTGTTGTACTATGTGTTACCTCAAATCAATGCTAAACATACAGTCTTTTAGAAAAGCTGATAGGAGACTTCGCTAATTTTCAAGTGATTTCAACTGTTAAAAAGGATCTTTATTTTCATTCATATAATTATTGAATAATATAATGTAAGTAAACATACTCCCGCCGTAGTATGATATATAACACGCATCACATTAGTGATTGTTGTAACACGTGTGTAAAAACCTGGCGAGTTCATACTGATTTCTAACATCAATCTATATTTCTATAATATCTTCATTTTGAAAACCAAAATGTCTGATGAAAACCTTTTGTTGATGTGAAGCGTATAACAGTCATCAAGAGCTTCCTATCTCTTGGTCTAATCAAATGCATTTTTGATAATGATTTCTAGGCAGCCTGGTATGTGATAACCAGGTAGTTGAATTAGAAGCTACAAAAGAACAGAAGCAACTAGACTTCCCAGGGAACCAAAATGTCACAAACAAGTAAGTATGACCGTAATCCCTTAATTCCTCAGTAGTTACTTACAATGAAGACTACCATTGGCGAGGGGCGTTGTCTGGATAATTGTCTTGGATATCACATTAAGCAGCAATGTCAGTCGTAACTTCTAATATACTTGCTGCAAAAGTCGATCATGTGACAGAAGGGTTCTTAAATTAGTGTTTTTCGTATGTGATTTATGAAACTTTTTTTTTCATTTTAGCTCTGCTTTATGAAAAACTCTCAGACTATGAAATTCAAATTTCAAACCAAAACTCGTGTATTGGTCTTTCTCGGTTCTTATGCTATTACGTCTTCTGAATTCTAGTGTGTACCATTGCCAGTGGCGACTGATCGCTGAAGAGAAGGATTACACAATACAAGTGGTGATGCAATCAGTTGTCATCAATCATGGATCTAACTGTTCCATGTCAAGTCTCAGCTTATATGACGGTACGTTTAAGTTGTAGATATCAAAATACCATTTGTAACTAGTAAGTATGTTATAACTTCTTATGTTGAATAGAGATTGAACATCTTCCTCAGAAATAGTATGACGAGATGGCAATAAGCTTGATCCTCATCAGAAGTAGTGTGACGAGATGACAATAAGCCCGATCCTTATCAGAAGTAGTGTGACGAGATGGCAATAAGCTTGATCCTCATCAGAAGTAGTGTGACGAGATGGCAATAAGCTTGATCCTCATCAGAAGTAGTGTGACGAGATGGCAATAAGCCTGATCCTCATCAGAAGTAGTGTGACGAGATGACAATAAGCCCGATCCTCATCAGAAGTAGTGTGACGAGATGGCAATAAGCTTGATCCTCATCAGAAGTAGTGTGACGAGATGGCAATAAGCTTGATCCTCATCAGAAGTAGTGTGACGAGATTGCAATAATCTTGATCCTCATCAGAAGTAGTGTGACGAGATGGCAATAAGCTTGATCCTCATCAGAAGTAGTGTGACGAGATTGCAATAAGCTTGATCCTCATCAGAAGTAGTGTGACGAGATGGCAATAAGCTTGATCCTCATCAGAAGTAGTGTGACGAGATGGCAATAAGCTTGATCCTCATCAGAAGTAGTGTTACGAGATGACAATAAGCTTGATCCTCATCAGAAGTAGTGTGACGAGATGGCAATAAGCTTGATCCTCATCAGAAGTAGTGTGACGAGATGGCAATAAGCTTGATCCTCATCAGAAGTAGTGTGACGAGATGGCAATAAGCTTGATCCTCATCAGAAGTAGTGTGACGAGATGGCAATAAGCTTGATCCTCATCAGAAGTAGTGTGACGAGATGGCAATAAGCCTGATCCTCATCAGAAGTAGTGTGGCGAGATGGCAATAAGCTTGATCCTCATCAGAAGTAGTGTGACGAGATGGCAATAAGCCTGATCCTCATCAGAAGTAGTGTGGCGAGATGGCAATAAGCTTGATCCTCATCAGAAGTAGTGTGGCGAGATGGCAATAAGCCTGATCCTCATCAGAAGTAGTGTGGCGAGATGGCAATAAGCTTGATCCTCATCAGAAGTAGTGTGGCGAGATGGCAATAAGCCTGATCCTCATCAGAAGTAGTGTGACGAGATGGCAATAAGCTCGATCCTTATCAGAAGTAGTGTGGCGAGATGGCAATTAACTTGATCCTCATCAGAAGTAGTGTGGCGAGATGGCAATAAGCTTGATCCTCATCAGAAGTTGGTGTGACGAGATAGCAATAAGCTTCATCTTCATCAATTTACATGATATGTAAACTATTTCGTTAAACGAAATCAATCGAACACCCTTTCATGATGAGAATGTTTCTAGTGTCGCTAAGCAAAAATGAAGCATTCATGGTTAAGCCACAACCAATACTATTGTAAAACAGGATGACAGTTTATGTACAGTCCCGAGGATTCGGGTAAGCTATCAAACGGAAGGCCTCGTATTTCTCGTTTTGAAGCCCTCGGTTATCGTGAGACACCTGAACAATACAGAGATATGATACCTCATTTAGACTACGATTTTAGAACAAAACAACCTATGTTCCCTGAACCAAATACAGACAACTTGATGGCGACTTTCTGTCTGCAGCACAAACAAAGAATATCAATTATTATCTAAGTGTTCTCAATGGGTGGTAAGAAATGAAAAGTTATTTCTCATTTGGTTTAGGGTAAGGGTACTCTCGAAAAATTTTAAAGCAGTATCTACTTAACTACATCATACTTCATATACAACTGCAGCACGCTGCATACAACGTACTTCTTACAAAAATTAATTCCCATTTGGTATGACAGTACTTATCAGAATAGGCCATGATTTTCTTCAAAACGTTCTCTTCCGGTTAAAATTGCATGATAATAATAATTTAAGTCAACACCGATCCAAATTTCTTTTCGTAAATATTTTGAACAGTTTAAATAATGATTCAAGACATTGTATACCAATAAATTGTAAAGAATTACACTAGGTTATATTTCTACGTTTAGGACATGACTCTACAGACTACCTCCTTCGTCAGGAATGCAGCAACAGGACAGAAAACATGGTTGTAAACAGTTCCAATGAGAACGTCTATATTGTATGGTTATTACCTGCGGGGTTGACCAACTCTAATACATTTACCATTGCGTATGCAGCTCGGGACAATGGTGAGTCGACAAAAAAATTATCATTCAAACAAAATCTAATCCATCAATATTTTGTAAAGTATTTGATCAAGAAAGTTGAAAGTTTTATTGACTTTAAGATAAAACTGGGCTCACAGATTGCTTGTAGATATTGTCATATTGATGAGATACATTTTAAATGATCATTATTTATAATATAATATATAATTTGTCTTTCAGGAGGTAAGACTCACAATTTTACCAAAACAAGTCACGCTGGTGTCATTGCTGCAATAATCTTGGTCATCGTCTTCACTTTGTCTATCGTCATGGCGGTTGTTTGCTTTTTTAGAAACAGAGCAAAGATGGAGAGACGAAATGTACGTCAGCAAGATAGTTATATTCGACAAAGATAAATAAAAAAAGTAATTCGTATTTCTTATCATCAATAAAATTCTTATTTCAATCAATGTAAACTTAATGTACAATGCATAATATGAGATGCTCCAGTGTAAAAAAATGAACGCTGCAAATGCGTAGATGAAAATTTAGTTATATATGATGTTTCATTGTCACAATGGTAACAGCACCAGCATAGCTTTCAACATCGCGTTGGAAGTTGCATTACAGATACAAGACAGAAGCACGATATCACAAAACAATGATTCCGATTGCATAATACTAACACAAAACTGTCCGCTATGAAAATGTAGAATGAATTCGATCTGAATCCGAACGCTACAGTGTTTACAATTAATACATGAACTGGTCCATCCATCAATGTTTTAATACATATTCTTCAGTAGAAAAATCCAATGAGAAATACAGTAAATGTTGCTAACGCTATTGCAAATGCATTCAGTGTTTTCCTCCAGAACTTTGTCTGATGTATAGAGGTCAATTTTGCTCTCAGGGCACGTTTCTGTTCTGACGTCAGCTTCTGTTTAGGTTGGTCCGTTGTTCCACATACCCAGTTGTAACAGTATCTCTTGAAGTTACCTAACGCACCTGTAAAACAATATTCAAATACATTGAAAGACGGTATATATACATCTATTTCGAAAAAGATAAATAACAATTCTGAGCACTCAAGGTATGGTTAGAATATCATATTGATATATCGAAAATTATAAAGTGAAAAACAGTGAGATTTCGGCGTCACAAAAAATGTTTGATATCAAAAAGTGTATGCACATCCACGTTTTAGTTAAGGGCTTTCCACTTCGAAAGTGAGATTTGTCAAGGCTAACGCAACATTTTTTTCTGTTATGAACATTTGAACAAAATCAAACCAATGAAGCAAATAAATGTCAAATAAAATTGCACATTTCTGAATTTCAAACAGACGATATGTAGTGCATTTTGAATATACATTACATAACAAAATACATTTGCACATTAAGGTTTTTTTATACTAGACTCATTTGTTTTTCATTATCACATAATTGAATAATTATAAGGAAGTACTGTATATCGAGACTTGCTGGATTTTTTACCGTTTACAAATTTAGATGAAAAAATATTAATTGACATAAATCAAAATAAAGTGGTTAATATTGAAATAGCTTAGTTATCGTTATTTCAATAAAGAACGTATATATATCACGGATGTACCTGTTTCATCATCAGTTGTCCCTGATTTTGTGTCATCTTCCTCGTCCGCCATTTCCTCGTCCTCGGAGTCAAGATCCGGTTCTAAAGGGTCATTTCTTGTCCAGAACGTCACACGCCGCAGCTAAAGATGCAATTTAAATAACCTTATTAAAATAATAATAGTAAGAAAAATACTGTGGGGGACTTAAAACGTTCTGCTCTCTCTCTCTCTCTCTCTCTCTCTCTCTCTCTCTCTCTCTCTCTCTCTCTCATTTCTTATGCAATAATGAAAATAAAACTCTTTGTTATGCTATTGTTTACGGTTATGTAGCAATTATTTCCATTATTTAAGATGAAAAATCTCAATTATTGTTTTTATTTATCTATTAACTGTAGAAGTTATACACGTATGTTACCTTCCGCTCTGGGCGTGGTTCAGTCAACAGGCTGATAACAACCATCACAATGGTAGCGATGACAGCCAAGATGGTGGCGAAGTGTAAGAAATCGACCTTGCTGACAATGTCCGGCCTGGTGTCTGGGTCGCCACTGCCACAGTTCGGCGGCGTGTAAACAAAGTCCAGCACCATTCTAATTACCCCGATCACCAGACACACAATCAGGCCCCAGAAAACACCCTGCATATAAATGGTGCGCCGTTTTAACAACTGTGCATCATCATAATACTTTTTTTTTTTTTTTTTTTAAATAATTTCAAATTACAAAATACTTAACAATGTGGCTAAAGGACAAATATAAAAATTAAACACGCTGGCGCAAAACCTGACAACGCTTTACTCAACTTGCAACAAAATCAGGATAAGAATGTCAACACCAGGAAAAAAAAAGTGAATGAATAAGAAATTAAAAGAAACGTCGGATGATAAAAAATTGTTCATACAGACAACCGAAAGGCGAACTAGAAAGCTCTAGAGAGGAAACAGCTCGCTGCATCTCGTTAGATGTCATGACAGAAAGTCTTTGTCGTCATAGGCGAAAAAGAAATCGTACAGTCTATTCGACTGTTTACATTACAGCGATAATATTTAACCTGCATTCAGCTGTAGATGAGGTGTAAGGGAAATAACTCACAGTGGTTTTATCCGTTTGAATAATGCCTTACTAAATCAGTTTTGGATAAAATATAAGTTATATAATAACTATGTTAAAGAACCAGAAATTAATATCAAATTATGTCGTACCGCTTCCGTTGTACGTTTCCAGAACACTCCCAAAAGAAAGAGTATACACCATGGAGGGATCAAATAACTTCTGATAGACTGCATGTACGCCCAGAACTGTCCTCCCTGGACTTTTTCCATTACTGGTAGCCATAGTATACTTGTCACGACGAGGATAAGCACAGTCACTCGACCCACTATCATCAGTTCTGTATTCTTGGCGTTTTTTCTGTACATGCGCCAAACGTCCAACGTAATTACAGAACTGGCACTGTTTAATATCGACGTTAGAGAGCTCATCAGCGCTGCCAACAGTGCCGCCAGCATTAAGCCGCGAATACCTTAAAGAAAATGAACATCTATTATAAATGGAACTTTCGCGTTTCCACTATGTTGTAAAATGCCCAACTGACGTGCCATTTCCCTAAATGTATGCATTGACCATACGTACATGGAACATCTTTATTTAGTATTTACAGTGTTATTACTGACAATCCAAATGGCAAAGGTAACTATGTTAGATCAAAATAACTGTTTTAATATGATTCAAATACGGACCTTCCGGCAGAATACGAAGGACAAGTAGTGGGTAGGCCAGATTTGAACATCCAGCCCTATTTTGACAGATCTCAAAGCATTTGTCTGGATCTGCACATGCAACCTCCTCTGTAAAACAAAAGGATTCAAATATATTTTCTAGGGAACGTGTTGTCTTAAAATAAGCATCTGAATACTATGCTTGATTGTGTACTATATTGTTGGTAAAATTATATACTTAAATCTAAAATTCACATCTTAAAGACTAAGACTTGATATTGTGCTGCAGTTTCTTTATTCGTCCTCTTCTGTTAGAAAAAAAAACTTAGAAGCTTGCAGATAAATTTTTGAGCTTGATAATCAATTATTGTATGTTTAAAAGATTCCTTGTGTTATTTTGATTTTGATACATGAGATACATACGAGGATATTTAATCCGACTGACCATGCCGGGAATAACAAACATAAGAAAAGACGTGAGTTTCAGTAGACCTCCAAGCAATGCTCCACCTTTAGAGTGATTCATGTTTCTAGCCGACAGACACCTTTGTACAATAAGCTGTAGAAAAAACAAGTTTTATAATATCACTGTCACCAGTTTGTAGCAGAAATACATTTGATTGCGAATTGACAAACATTTTCGAATTTTCTGGATTTGCCTGTGATTGATGATATTAATTTAATAGATAAAACGATTTTAAGTCGACGAGTGCTAACGAATCAGATGTGATAATGAAGATGACATGATGTATTTAGAAATCAGATGTAATGATGAAGATGACGCAAAGTGTTATGAAATAAGATGTTAAAATGAAGGTAACGTGTTGTATCAAGGAATGAGAAACAGAAAAGACAGATATGAGAGGAACATGTCTTTTCTTCAAAGTAGGTACAAATACCGATGCAATCAACTACCTGATCTTGAGTCCAAACGTACAAGCCCAATGTTGACAGTCCCAAAAGAGCACCAGGCCATGGGATGTCTCCTGTGACCGCATCACGGACAATGTGGAATGAGTCTTCGCGTGGTAGTCCACACGAGTACATTGACATGTTCGTAAGTGTGTAGTTTGCTGCTGATGTCATGAACTTGTCCTGGATTGCGCCCCAGCCACCAACATCCACCCATGCTACAAATAAATTGTGGCAGTCACAGTGAAACCAAACATACATATATGTATTAGACTTCACATGAATACACACACAAGATGATGAAGAAAACAGCATCAGATAATAAGTTTAGATTGATATAGAAAATAATGATGTATTTCAAAGTTAAATCTTAAACCCCACAATTTTGATTTTGCAATTAGTACTTACAGGTTATAAAGAGAATGGTAGCGCCAATAATTAGTACAATTGTTTGTAATGTATCTGTATATATCACAGCAGCTAGACCTCCTGTAAAACAAACGAACACCAAATTAGACGATTGACGAAATATGTATTTGAATAATGTGTTATGTCTTATGTAGTAGTGTGTAGCGTTAATATCGTGTATACATAATGTAAACAATACATTTCAATCAAGCAGTCCATTAGATCGGGTATTTGTCTCAATCCTTAAGACTTTAAGTGTAATACCAATCATAATTTCAATCCGAAAGTATTTCAAAACCAAAATTATGAAAATAGCCGTGTAGAACACCGCTTTTCTGTGAAAAATGTCTGCGCAGCCATTTTGTGAATCAGAAAATTATGTGCTGACCTATTAGTTGGTTTTATCAAGAATATTCGACAAGATACATTAAACTTTTATCTAGCAAAATGCACCATGAAATTGTGCTGCATATTATTATAAATAATTAATGTACACATGTGCTTCAATTACAAAAGATCTATCAAACTAAGTTAAGATAATCATACAATTTACTTCAGTGGAACTGTGAAAAGAAGAAAAAGGATATATATGAATAAATAGACTTTAAATACGTTGATGTATGCCTCGGCATACTTATACCGACAGAATTATGCATGAACACACGATCCCCTCAAATATAACATCGTTCTCTTTACACATCTTCTATGTGCCCGGTACTCCACTAACTATGATTATCTTATTATCATGGAAGAAAGGGAAGTAAACATACATATGTACATACATATCAGTTCAAGATCTTAGTTTTAACATAATTAGTGTTATTTAAACAGTGATAAAAATATTATCATAGTATTTTAAAATTGGATATGGCTCTTTTATAATTACTTTTAAAAAATATTTAAATTTTCTTCATGAAAGTGAAGTACAATATCATTTATAAACAATTTCTATTTCGATATTGAGAAGAAATATCTTCTTTTTTTCTCGGAATTTTACATACGGTAATTCTATGTTATTTACTGACAGAAATTCGCAGATAATTCGTATTATTTGTAACACGTAGTATGCTTGTAAAGTTTGTTGATTTCAACCATATCGATGAATGTAAGATTGAAACATGTAAAATTTATTAATCAGGATAATACATTTTTTAAAAGTGCGATATTTAGGAAAGAAGATATGGTTAGAAGTATTTACGTGAAAATCAAACTCACTGTGATGTTACATTGGTGTGTTACATGAAAAGGGATATCTCTACATTACATGGGTATGTTCCGTAGACAGGGATACCTCAACATTACATGGGTATGTTCCATAGACAGAGATATCTTAACCTAAGATGGGCCTGTTCTGTTTACAAGGATATCTCTACCTAACATTGGTCTGTTCTGTATAAAGGGATATCTCAACCCAACCTTACATGGGTGTGCTTTGTGGATAAAGAACACAGCAACAAATCTGTTATTGTTGCAAAACCTATTCATCAAGCAAACATCTATTTCCTATGAAATATGCGTCGATATTGGTGACGTTACCATTTTGCGACTTGATCACGCCACATGGGGTTATCTGTGATGCATGTGAGGAGATATAATGCCTTAAAAATCGTGTAGAACATTTCCCAATAATTACCAACAATGGTGTATACTGCTGTCACAGTGAGTATGATAACGACACTGAGATAGAGATTCCATCCGAGGATTTGTTGTAGAAACATTGCGCCAGTGAAAATCTCAATCTGCAATGAAAACATAGACATGTCAGTAGTTAGGTTTCAAAGACGCTTGTACTGAATTAAAAAACATAATGAAGAAGTTAGTGTTAGTGGTAGAGAGTAATTTATAACGCACCGAGATGTTAAAGAGGATGTACCCGATCAAAGACATGATGGATGAGTAGATTCGGATCCGCTTTCCTCCATATCTCTTCCGCAAATATTGGGGCGTGGTAAAAGACTGTTGAAAACAAAACAGACTTATAACATAAAATTAAGAATGTTCACAAAGTATGATATATTGTAACTATGGAAACATTAGGGACCTAGCGAGTTACATTAATCTGTTCAAATCAGACATTTCTCAAGCTTTTTTTATGTTTTCAAATTCTATACATGTAACCATTATTGTGTTAGATACTGAGGTTAATGTAGAAAGAATAACAGCAAGTGATTGTTATGGAAACTGATAAATAATGCTTAAGTAAAAACATCTGGGATCTTTTCATGTACCAATACCAAATTATCATAATCAAAACTCCAATTCAATACAGTTATGACAAAAAAAAAAAAAAATTAAAATAACAAAAGAAAGATTTACAAAGAGATTCTTGGAAGAATATAAGGAAATACCAATATAACAACATTTCTGTAATTCGATCTGAAATTCAATTATAGAGATAATGATATAGAGCTAAATATAAACACAAGAAAACTTTACACTGAGGCTCTTGAAAAAAGTACAAGGAGAGTGGCACTTTTCAAATTAGCTGGAATTAGATGCTTATATTTCATCCTAGTAAAAAGGAGAAAGTACACGTTTTACATGTACAGAGTAGTATTGTTTAAACAAGGTATGGGGAGCAAATGACACGTACCCCACACGAAACATACACTGGTACAAATATCCAGCCCAACGCGATGAGAAAAAACGCAGCCTGAAAGTATCAAATTCTAATTGTAAACATGACAATGAATACATAACAGCATATACACATAGATAATTGTCTGAGAATAGATTTAAAAAGAAGTTGTTAAACTATGTAACTTGACATTAGATACTGAGAGAAAAGCATAATAAATCATTCATCATTTCTCCATTTCATTTCTGGATTATCGACACAAGGCAATACTCGTTTTAAATGCAGATTTAAAATCAGAAATAGTTAAACCGAAAAATGAATACAGATTGTAGCTGAGCAGGTAAATACTATGCTATTCAGTATTTCTTGTTGATAATAATGACGTTGTTGGGCAACTATTTCAGTTATAAACATTGTGAAATAAATATTAGGTAATTTTTGTGAGACATCAGTACGTACATGCCATTCATATATAGTGACCGCTAGTCCAGAGGCTGCAGCTGAACCGGCAAGTCCTATAAACATTGGGGCTCCTATGTTGCTGGCATAGATAGATGCTCCAATCTAATGACAGTCGAAACGAAATATTGTAAACATTTCTTAATCTAGTTAAGATATAATCTTATACTATTCATAACAATTATACATTCTGTATTGAATTATAACAAATTTATATTTTATTTTAACTTATTCCAAACTCTTTTAATGTGGTTGTTTCATTGAGATTTGTCATTGATTAACTATATTTCAATATGTATAGTTTTATGCAATATAAATTCACTTATGAGTCTAGCTACATAAATGCATTATCTTAATGTTGATACACAAATGTCATACCGGTATCCAGTGCATATCTTTTCCCGCCAGAAAATAACCCTGTGAACTCCCCCTGTTTGGCCGACATGTTGACTACAATACAATGTAAAAGGTTATCACATTTATATATCTTTACAAAAACACCCTCACCAAAAGGATGATCACCTAACTAAAATGACAATAGGGAGAGGTCATTTACAAGGCAATCCTATTTCAACACCGTCCTATCCCAGTGGTAGATGGTCAACCGTCTGTACCGATCACTCTGGAGCAGTGGGTGTTCAGTGGCCGTGAGCATTTTCTTCTTCTCAAATGACGATCAAATGTCTTATGTATTTTTATCATCGCTCGTAATGCGTATTAAATAAAGGTCATGGTAAGACATAATTGTATGTAAACATTATTTGTATCAGCAACAGACAATGTAAACGTTCAGGGCAATCATATTTTTAAACCATAGATACAGCGGAAATTAGCACAGAGATCCATGAAGAGATCTTAAAATACAAACATGCATGGTTTGATTTATAAATAGTTGAGCTATTAACACATGAATAATATCTTGCAGGATATAATATATCAACAAACCATATACTGGTAGTGTAATGTAGTCATACACTGAAAGGAAATTGTGGACACACCCCACTGTTTCCTGTTAACGCATATTGTGTTCCGAAGTTACAAATATAGTATCAATATTTAAAGGCATCACAACATTTTACCTGTTCACCAACAGCGTCGTCTCCGGTATATTTAATGCAGCTATGTGGTTGTATTTTAGCACGTAAAATGTCCTTCAGTCAATTCTAAGCTTATGATGTTTGTGACGCAATGAATCCTACACTTGTGCCGATATATTTTTAATGTAATACATACATGTAATATGCCAGGATAAATAATGTAAACAAACACGATCTTAGAATAATACGACAATGCTTTGTTGTAACACATACATGTAGATTAGATGTTATGTTAATAATTACACATATTAGTAACACAGGTACAGATTTCCGTTAGTAATCTCCTAAATATAGATATACATTTTAAAGTAAGCATACTGTACCAAGATTCCCACGACTATCACAACGGCAAAGTATATGCCGATCGTCAGGTAATCTCCCCACGCCAGTGTTTCCGTCATTTTGTTGATGGATTCTCTCTCGTCTTCCCGCTACTTCCAAATAGGAGAGAGGCGTCCAGGATCAAGCATCGGTTAAGTACACAATGACCAGGAATAAGTCCAGGTGATTTAGTAAAAATTTACATATTGTAGCTGGTAAGGTAAATACTCCGATGAATTTCGGGTCATCACCGCTCAGGTAAACATACGACAGGATTTCTTCACGTGTTTAGGTCGGCTTTCACGCTCTATTGCGTTTGAGTTTATCCTAACGTACTGTGACCTGTCCTTTACATTAAGCATTCGTTGTATGATGTTTGTTTCACGACAAGCGCAAGCGATTGTATCATACCACAAGATAATTACTTGATCAACAATTGAGTATGAAAAATCACTACATATGTTTCTGACTATTGTTTCGCAAAATGTAAATCTACTGTATATCTACAGTGGTTAACCTAATAACGGATATAAAAGATAAAATATGTTTCATTATGAAGTATTTGTTTCACTTTATTCTTTACATAATTAAAATTTTAAAACAAGAGGAAGTTTCCTCAACTCATTTTTGTCCTAAGTCGAAAATTATCAAAGACAACACACACTAATGTCCACACCTACTACCACAGGTTCATTGTATCAATGTCTGGAGTGGAATTGCCACTTAAAGAAGAAGTTTAAGTTTAACAATTTAAGATGGATAACAATGATGTTTACAATGAATTAATATATACAAATAAATATATAACAAATATATGATAAATAACAAATATATACGCTCTGGTAACGTCATAAGCCCTAAAGATGGACAATCTCAGATGGATCAAAATGGACCTTAAATTAGCACTATCAACATATAAATGATAGCAAAATACCAACTGACCTATAAATATGTGAGGAAATTCAAACTAAAGCTAGATAACACTAGTAAAACTATAAAACTTGGATATAAATTTTACTACTGGTGTGCCCCAGGAAAATAGCCGCTGAAGTGTTAAATCAATAACAACTGTTAAGTATTACACCAGAATACTGAGCCTTAGTTTAGGGATACTAAAGTATCAAAATGTAAATATCCAACAACTTCTATATTTTTTTTCTCACTGCATATCTCATATATCTGTATATGCATATGATAACCCGGCCCACTACTGCCCCTCTATCATAAACTATCCTACATAAATAAGGTTAACTCCCACTTCCTGACAACTACAGGTATTAGCTTACAATCACAACATACATGTATTAAGTACCAGAACCTTCCGCTAACGTGACAGATTTCCCAAACAAAATCCTGCAATGCAAACGATTGGTTCGATCTGGAATAGGTAACCAATCAAATATGGGTTTGCATAAATAAACCACTCGTGAATAATGCAAAAAATAGAAGAATGTATCAAGCAGTCTTCACTTTCATCTCACATTACAACTCAGCGTTGTGTGTATTTTCTACTGATATGTACTGACATGTCAACATGATCATAATTCAAACTCAAATTAAACAAAAGTATGACAAAGTATGAACTCAAGAAAGATTTACTTGGAGACTATTAAAATATGTTGATTTTGTCCTGCACATGCATATATTCATTTCGTACCATTATCATCATGAAACGAAGTGTTGTTTAACAAAATGAATATTGTCTTTTCCAATAGTGATTACGATCACATTATCTTTTAGATTGCCTACTAATGATACGAATAAGGATATCCCCCGTTTAAATTTGATTCCAAAATCTACGTAACTTCTTATTCCCTTTTTTAGTGCGATCAAACAGGATTACAGTCGTATTGTAATACTGCGTAATAAAAAATGAAAATAGATTATGTAGATTTTAATACCCTCAAATAGTTTTGACCAATCTTCAACACCATATTCTAAAAACAGTTCTTCTTTCGGAACATTTGATTTTTCCCGCTCTGTACACCACCATTCTCCATTCTCACCTGAAAGAACGCATTCGTTTTCTTGTTATGAAAGCTTCCTTTCCAAGAAAGATTAATGGAAATTTCAACGGACAAACATGCAACACAGTGTTTCAAGAGATGTAGGTTAATTGAAATTATGGGAAAGTCGTCATAGTGATATCACTGCAAAATATTTTTGTGCGGTATGAAGCTGGACTTTTTTATGCTCCTTGGTAAACACTGTTTGAGGACGTGATATTACTTCCTTGGAGTGACCAAGATTCACATGTTGGGTAACCTTTCTTTCGCTCATATTTTGCCCTGGAGTTATTTATTTGAATTTGGATTATGATAACGTTCACTTGTTGATATTTTCTTGTTGTTTCCTGTGAACTTATCAATTTGAAAAATGGAATAATGTCGCCATCTGCCTATGTGTGGAAATTAAATTTTCAGTTGCTTAAAAAGCAATGAGTATTTATAACCTTGTTAGTCGACTTTTTTCCAGATATGTCCATCATCCACCAGATAATGCCATGGTTTCAGACGGTATTGGTAATATGCTGAAGATATCTCAAAAATATGTCCAGCACAGAGGGACCGAAGGTTTAACAGACAGCACTGTTTATAAGATTTTGAAACCCCATCTTATCTAAAACGAACTCCAATGTAATCTCGATAAAACAAATAGATTAAAAAAATGGAGATACCATATTTTAACATCACGCCAAACGCGAACCGTCACTGAATTGGACCTGGAGAGTTTACGTTGATGTAGTATTCTATACTAATTTCATTTTTTCATGCATGAAAATTACTAAATGTATTCAATTATGGGGCTGCTGCAACTCTCCGTCCGGATTTTGACTTTAGGCTTCAAACTTTAGGCCCTTAGCATCACTGACATGTCCTAGAATGACGAAACACCTGTATGTTGCAATTTGATTTATTGTTTATCTATTGTTTGCCTCTACTGTATCTTACTCTAAATTGTTAAAAGGTGCTATTCACTTGTGTGTATTTTGTACAGTCTTTGTAAATGAACATGATTTCTGAGTGTACATATATGTTCGCCTACAAAGACAATAACTAGTAACGTATGTCAATAGTTGTCCAAGCAGTCACTTTAATTAAAATATGCAATAAGAACTGTGGTTATGATGATAATGATTACAGCAGATATGTTTAAAACACGTCTCCAGAAAGGCTTTTCCTCAAATGACAGATCCTTCTCTCGTTGTTTATGAGTGTCCTCTGTTTCCCATGTGCTTTGTTGTCTTGTATCCCCGGTCCTTCCACACATCCACATCATACATAAAGTTTTTAATCTATTAGATGAACCTGAAATATAATAATGTATTTTGGTCAAATTATATCAATTTTGCATTCATTTTGGTTCATTGCTGTAGCAAATCATTTTTTGTTGTATTACAGTTAACCTATTTTATAAGCATGCGCTCATATATATATATATGTATATAATGAATAAAAACAGTTCACCTTTAGATTCTGGTAGCTGTATTTCCATTTCATTAATGACTGTGTTTTCATCTTCTTCTGCTTTAGAAGCTATCATACAACTGCCTTCTTTCTGAGTACTCTTTTCACTCTTTTCTTCGTCATCCTCCTCCTCGTCTTCTGTGTCAGGATCTGGGAAGTTCTTGTCCTTGCGAGTCCACCACGTAACACGTCTAAGCTGAAATCACATTATATACGGTACATCGACACATATGCTACATTAATTTCATTTATAATATAAAAACGTGAAATCAAAGGTTTACAAGTACAAGCGTGAGCAATACTAACATTAAAGAATAATTATAATAGGTCAATTTTTACATTATGAATGACAAACGAGAGAGAGAGAGAGAGAGAGAGAGAGAGAGAGAGAGAGAGAGAGAGAGAGAGAGAGAGAGAGAGAGAGAGAGAGAGAGAGAGAGAGAGAAAAGGCGGGGGGGGGGTGTATATTGATATACCAATAATTTGTGACGTCAGAAACTTTCTTACGAAACATTAACTTATCAGGATATATGTCATTAATGTAATAACAAAAGCTCGAAAATATGTATATATCTTGGTAAAATGTCACAGGAATGGATCCGTTTTTTAATGACTAGGGATTTAAGTTATATCAAGCTTTTACTGCCTATTGGGCAACAATATAGTATCCAACGAGAGTTGAGAACTAAGCTTTAGAGCATACATTGTAGATTACATTGCAGTAGCCCAAGTAAACCATATTCTTATGTCTTCAATAATGTCAAACGACATGCTTGAAGCCGAGATCGAGATTTCAAATACATTTTACCTAATAACTAATAATGACCTAGATTAAATAAATGTGTGACTCTAAAACCTGTAAAGACGATATAAAAAAATCAAAGTAAGTTCTGTGTAGGTAGTATGTTTTCTTGTTACCTTCCTTTCTGGCCGTGGTTCTGTCAAAAGGCTAATGACAACCATACATATTGTAGTAAACACGGCTAAGATAATCGCAAAATGAAGAAAGTCCACATCAGCAATTATAGATGGGCGTTCGTCTACCTCTCCGCTACCACATAAAGGTGCAGCGTACGTAAAATCTAGCACCATCCGAACAATCCCAACTACAAGACTCAGGATCAGTCCCCAAAAGCCACCCTAGAGAAAAGTAAGAGAAAAAAGTATTTCTGGAATATGAAAATAGATGAAATTGAGAGCTTTAATGTGTATTTCTACATTTTTTCAAGTAGATTCAATTTACAAAACTTTTTGAAATGTTAATAGCCCAATTTTCAGTTGATATTACTTTGAACGGTAAAATTTTCAGCCATATTTTCAACTGAATGAAAGCAACAAAATAAAGCCGTTTCGTGTTTACCGCCTCCGTAGTTCTTTTCCAGAAAATACCAAGCATAAATAGCATACACCAAGGTGGGATAAGATAGGAGCGGATGGACTGCATATAAAACCAGAACAATCCTCCCTGGACCTTCTCTAGGATAGGTAACCATAGGATACTAGTGGCTACCATCACTAGCACGGTCAGTCTGCCAACTATCATCAGTTCCATTTCAGAAGCGCGTTTTCTTGCTACACGCCATATGTCTAAGGTCACTATAGAACTGGCACTATTGAGGATTGACGTCATGGAACTCATAAGAGCGGCGATAAGTGCCGCCAACATTAATCCACGTAGTCCTGAATGTATAAACAGACTTCGCCTATGATAATTAGAGTAACAGTTTTATTTCAACAACAATTGTTCACGATTCAACTACATTATTGTATTTGGTCAGTGCCAATGATTTGCAACATACTTGTGCAACAGGAATACAAAAAAAAAACAACATTGTTGCTTAATTTATCTTGATGGTAATTGGCGCCATTTTGCTCAAATCAAACAAAACTCATTTCGAGAAAACACATATCTGCAGAAAGTGATAAATATGAAGCAGAAGACGCTTGCTCTTAAGGAACACCAGGTTTTAGTTTTGTATTTTCAAACAAAGACCATGAATGTTTTTTCATGTTTTGCCCAAGCTGTACTAAATTTGAGTTTGGATTATGACGGTGTCTACGGTGTTTTCCCCTTTACTTCAAAATACTTAAGAGACTGTGAACTTAACAAACTATATTGTCGTGTTCTATGCATGACGTACCCGTTGGGAGAAATCGCAATACCAACAGTGGATAAGCCATGTTGGAACAGCCAGCTGGATTACCACACAGTTTACTACACGTGGTAGGATCAGCACATGCAACTTCGTCTGTACGGAGTAATACAGGATTTAAGTATGTTTACATTTCTCATAATCTCGCTTTTGTGAAACAAATGTCGACATAGATTATATTTGTTTCTAAAATACAATCAAAATTAGAAAAGAGTCCTTACAATTTTTTTCATCCCCATCAATAGCCGTGATTTTGCTATAGACCTTAACGATTATTCTGACTTAAAAAAGAATTGTAAAGAATTATATTGTCCATCAGTCAGAATATCATACTAGTCAGCCTGGAATTTTACAACTTATAAAGTTTTATGTAGTTATGATAATTGGCGATTAATTTATTAAAGATTTATTTGTAAAATTGCATATTGTTTTTAATTAACAAATGGGCAATGTATAAAAAAATCATGCTAAAGATATGATCCCAATGTTATTAATATAACTGCCACGTTTTACTTTGATGTCATCGCTTACACTTCAGGAATATCTGGCCTCATTTTCATGAATCTAGAATATGTATTGTTCCTACAATTTCTATCTTAACCTGTATAACTTTTTTTCTTCACAAATCTAGCTCAACTTTGCAGGTCTATAGTTTGATGATGTTTGCTTTAGTTTCATTGAATCTGAGTTTGAATTATGATTCTGTTGGCATGTCTTTATTTTCCTTCTTCTTTATACAAGTCATAACGTAGGTATGGTATATATCATGCTTTCGCAGCTGTCAGAAGAAAATCTAATATATTTCCCAAGTTCTTTACATCACTTTACCAAGACAGTGACAAGCAGTTTCAATGACACTCTTACCTGGAAATAAAATCCTGCTAACCATCCCTGGTATTAGGTATAGAAAGAAGGGAAGTATCTTAAGGCAAGCTCCAAGTATGGACCCAGCTTTTGCATGTGATATGGATTTGGCTGCCAGACATCTTTGAACAATCAGCTGTTTGTTTGATAGATATAATAAGCTTCATAGAATAAATCATAAAGACACATCTGTTACATATAATGGAAAACGGGATAGATATTATTACCATAAGTATTTTTGTAATTATATTCTGTTCCTTTACCTGATCATGACACCAAACGTATAGTCCTAGGGTAGATAATCCAAACAAAGATCCGGTCCATGGTATGTCGCCTGTCTTTGGGTTCCTCAGAATAGTAAACGAGTCTTCCCTTGGCAGTCCACATGAATAAAACGTTTTATTCATTAACGTTTCGTTAGCAACAGCATTCATGTATTTGTCATGTAGTCCTCTCCAGCCTCCGACTTCTGTGTATGCTTTAATGTAAGAAATGAAACGATGTTTACATTAACTGCATTGATATTGTTAAGGTATCTAGTGAAAAGTTTGTGTATTGATATTTGTAAGTGTTATGGATTTTAAAGCTGTAGTTAACCTATATAATTATATATGAAGATTTTCTATTGCGATGTATTGTAAATATTGCAAAACCCCATTCAACCTAAAAAATAACTACTGACTTACACAAGGCAAACAAGACTATAGATCCGGCCAGCAGGACAACTGTCTGAAGGGTATCAGTGTATATTACTGACGTTAAGCCACCTAGAAAACGGAGAAAAATAACCAATCAAATTATATATGAAATGGAATCGTATTATAACATCTAGCTTCAATAATGATGCGACTTATAGTTTCATCAAGGAAAGGATTTTATTATAACAAAATACCAGCAACGAACAATAAATACACGAGGTTGCATGACCTTTTTGTCCCCAATTTATAAAGAGTCTGAATTAATTAATTTCTAATTCGATTTAACTTCAAAATGCTTGCAAATATTTTACCTACGATGGTGTATACCGCCGTAACAAGAAGTATGATGACCACACACAGGTACATATTCCAGCCTAACAGTTGTTTGAGAAATACCCCTCCGGAATAAATTTCTATCTGTAAAAACATGTTTACATCGATCTATAATTTAATACATAGTATTTTCAATATTCTTTGCAAAGTAACTTCGGCGATTTTTTCAGACAGATGACATACATCGGAAAGCTCTGCTGTCATAAATAAATTCAAAAGGAAGTAGCTTATCATACTCATATGACTTAAGCATGCTTCTATGTTATTGTAAATGTTTCCTCTATCAACATTCGGGGGGGGGGGGGGTGTGCGTTTTTCCTTATGATGCTAATGGGGAAAACGAGTTTCTTTATCACTTATGTGATTCCAGGCTTATAGTGAGAATCACTTGAAATTGTCCTGGATTTAAACAGCAAGATGATGAAACAGCACAAATGACTTCCCCCATGAATTTAATCTTCTCCTTTCAATTTTGCAAACGTTTCGTTAATATCATTTTAAATAAATTATTTTACACATATTTCCTTCTAAAATATTATCTTAGTCGCCCATACATACCGAAATGTTGAACAGAACAAATCCGATAAGAGCAAATATAGAAGAATAAATTCGGATCCGCTTTCCTCCATATCTTTTTCTAAGGTAACCTGGTGTCGTGAAGACCTTAAATAGAAAAAATATCTTGCTTTCACTGTTTTATATTTGTTAATATTTTAGCAGACCAAAACAAATGATGTACTGACATTGTGGGCTTCCAGTAGTAATTGCTCAGTGTCAGGACATTAGAATGTTAATTCACATCAGTATAGCATCTTAACCGGATACACTTTACTATAACAATTTAACTTGTCCTTACTGTTACCTCATTTATATGTGGACCTGAAAACGACACCAGGGAGTATCGACTGTGTAAAATGTGTGATCTCAGTCTGACTAACATATAGACAAGTTTTACCTATATTTGTCTAATTGCTATCTCATATCCTGTAACTTATATCAAATGTATATTTTGAAAAAATGTTGAACATATGTGATGTTGTGCAGTCGTTTGTGATTGTTGAGTTTAAGCTCTGTAGGCGACTTTCAGCCTTCGATGTTTGCTGTAACCATTTATGCAATATTAAAATTCGTATGGAAAACTCTTTGGTTCAAGGTCCAGGTTATTCATATATACTTGACTTTCAATTTTCTCCAGAATGAAAGTGTGGTGTATTAATTGAATTATTGGTAAAAGACCTTCCTAATATTTGTTTCATATAACTTTGATTTGGCTAATATCTCTGCTAGATTTCCAAACTTTCGCTTCTGATATCAATGTTTGTCATTAGACTAGGCTAATAAAGCGTGAAATATGCTATAGACTCGTTCGCACGTTATACTTCCACTATACTTACAGACTGCAACTCATATAACCATTGCCGAAATTATCATCTTGATACCTATCCAACAAGACGTATACACAGGGACAAAAATCCACCCCAGTAAGATACTTACCCCACAAGACGTATACACAGGGACAAAAATCCACCCCAGTAAGATACTTACCCCACAAGACGTATACACAGGGACAAAAATCCAACCCAGTAATATAAGGAAATACACAGCCTGTAAAACAATCGTATGTCATTATAATATCATTATCACATTAAGATAATTAAATCAAATGATGCCATGTTAGTCATTCCATACCATATCTTAAGAAAAATGGCACTTGTATGGCATGCCCCCAACATGGACAAGACTTAATACTGAAATGACTACAATCTTTAGAAGGAAAAATAAAATTAGGTGAAAATTAATTCCAACGAAAACCAATTTTTAACAAAAGTGGTAAAATTGATATCACGTGTCATTTAACTTATCATGTCTACTGACAATCCATTCATAGATGATGACAGCGATGCCTGAAGCAGCGGCGGATCCAGCTATCCCTATGAACATCGGGGCTCCAATGTTACTAGCGAATATGGAGGCACCAACCTGTATAAATTGAGTCGTATAAAATTGTGAAAACCTGATTTTTTACAAAGACAAACATGTGTGTATTTTCTTCAAAGAAAGGTGACATACACTTTTTATGAATTTGACACGATATTACATTTCGATTTTTAGTCAAATTTAATTCAGAGTGCATTTTGTCTTTTTATGAGATAAAAATATTCCACTCAATTATGAAACAAGGAGATGTTTGTTTTGACAATCATTTATTGCTATTTTTATTCCATTTTATGACACCTTATACAGAAAATCTGTATTTGTTTAATGAATATATTTTCAAATGAACCCTTAAATGTGTTTTGGTGAAGTTTTTTTTGTGAAGGTGAATTAACCCAAAAAAACTGTCACCTGTACGCATCGCTACCGTTAGTTAGACTTTTTAGTGTAAACTTCTTTGCGGATTTTCACAAAGTGCACATAGGTTTTTTTTAGTATCAATTTATCTAACTCGTTCCCTGAATCAAAGTCAGGAAACATTTCTCACTCATACATACCAAAATGTTATTTGAAGTCAAGAGTCGCTCTACTTTTATATATAATAGGGGGCATAACAAAGGGAGATTATTTGCACAATGTTTATGTGTTGGTATCCATGAGTAGTTGAAGTGATTCCCAGTAGCAATATGTCATTTAGATACACTATACGATGAAGTACCCACATACTGGTATCCAGTGCATGTTCTTTCCCGCCAAAAAATATCCATGAGCGCTGCCTTTATTTGAACGACAGGTTGACTGCAATATAAATGTATAAAACGTCATTGTTAAGCATAACCAGATATTGAAACTTTGTCTTCGAGGTCCTGACCAAAAATAAAGCTTTAAAATACACGTAAAAATTGCGGGAGATGTATGTAAGTGAGGTCAATGTCACTATCATGGCCTCATAGAAAAAAACAAAATATTTTCTTCTTGGATGATATAAAATGTTTTTTATGGTCGTTTAAGCCCGGTAATATTGTTGTTATATTCATCAGATTCTCCTTGGAGTAAATAACTTGTATTGCATAAGATTTACATGGCGAGTGTTGTAGATAAACCAGATGACGATTACATTTCCACTATAGAATACTTACATACACACATATATAAACATATATATATATATATATATATGATAAAAAGCCTGACAGGAGACACATCTTCGATTATGACAATGAAGTTTGTGAACGCTATTTCTTGAAAAGTTCAAGATAAACTTTTTCAAACTTCATATGCAATAGACAATTTGTCTCATGGTGTGCCGTTTTTTATTTATGAACTTTTTTTCAGAGAAACAAAGGGTGATTAGAGACCATCTTGGATTTTGACAAAGATAGTTCGGTATCGTTAATACCTTAGAACTACATATATAAAGATTGGATGGATCTTTCTCAAATTTCTTGAGTGGATTCCGTTTGGTACCTAGTTGTGCCATTAATATTTTTAGAAAAGATCCGAAAGTCCAAAGAATATGGCCGACAGTCGACCGTCTTGGATATGGCAGTTTATGAGCAAAGTTTTATATTCTCATTAGCTAAGCCAGTAGCCCGATTACTAAACTTCATATGGGAATATGATGAACTGCTCTTCCTTAGGCAGAAATTTGAAAACCCCTTTACCTTGTTAGTAACGTGTGTTCCACATCTGTATCACTTTCTGTAGGACATTGACATGATATGAACTATAAAGTGTGACCTAGTCTAATCTCAACTTGGCTTGGATCGATTTGTTAACCGTGTCATAAAAATTGGGTTGATATATCAGAAAATAGGGTTAATGAAAAACAACTCACCCATAGTCCCACACCGAGAACTAACACAAAGTATACCCCTATTGTTAAATAATCTTCCCATCCAAGATATTCCGCCATGCTTACAAAGTTCAAAGCACATACAAACACGGACACGTTGATCAAGAAGTCGCCGATAACTCTAGATAAGACCACAGTCTAGTCACCGACATAACACGACAGCATTTGTCTAAGATTGAAATTCTGGTTTATCATAGCCTCTAAGACGAATGCACTCTTCGATAAATTCAATCAAGTTTTACATGGCAGTTTTAGTAACTCAGCATAGATAGAAGAAATTAGAACTGTAGATTCGTATCCCTATATAAAGTTACTAGACAATAATGAGGAACATTATTTTAAGTTTAAACAATTTTTCGGTCATATTCAATGAACTATTTCACTAGTTTCTGACATGGTACCTGTGACTTAAATGATTTATCCTACAAGTGATATGTAAGCATGATCTACCTGGTCTAGCTCTCTGATCAGAATTTGGAGGACTAATGTCAAAGGTTAATATTACGAGCAAAACGGTATACACGATTCATATGACAACGGTTCAAATAACACGAAGACAAGGAGGAAGATTAAAATGACATTAACGGAAATCATGCCTTTTTCGTAAATGTCAAAAATGACATGTGATCTTATTCTCGATGAACAAGACAGGCAGTGCTGATATCAAGAAAGAAAAAAATGTAATACATGGTTTACATTTATTTTGGCGATTTTTTAAATAAAACTAAAGTAAAAAAACAAGAAAATCGGGGAATTTCATGGAGGTGACTAGAAAGCACCTCTCTGAGTTAATCAAATTCCAAGGGTGTACAGTGTTTCTAGATCGTCAAAATTTAACGACTCAACAGTGTTCTACTGCCGATTCTGACTGGTTACAAGGACTCAGCATATAATTTTACAAATCTAATTTACAGGTCATCGATGTTTTCGCCAGTTAGATCAAGAATAATTCTGTTTTCATGGCTGACCAGATTTGGTTTGATATTTTATTTCCATTTACTACAGTAGGCCTGTGCGTCAGGTGACGGGAGTCCTGAACACTTCCTCTGGGCCTTTAAGCTTCCGATAGGTGCGGCCTGAATAACGACTACTGAACAAGATTTTTTATTTGAATATGAAGAGAGCATGCCATCGTATATGTAAACTACCTCATGGTGTAAACAATTGGTGTAGAGAGGAAGGGGACACACTAGTAAGAATTGTAAGTGAATATGTTTGTGATTTAACACGCCATGTTTGATTCAAACATAGAACAAAATAAATTGCAGTGTTCCTTGTAAAAATGTTAAATGCCGTGGATAACGAGCAAAAAATCAGGTCATATGTGATGTGATGTGATAGGACGGAGAAGAAATAGGAAATCTATAACTGGATATCATCCACGACAAACTCGCGAAAATTTGGAGAAATCAGGGATTTCCTATCGTGATACACTTACTTAATGATTAACATTGTATATTAAAAACGTTGGACCCACAGAGAAACGGCATATCATCCGTGTTGTCAAAATTGCTATACATATTGCAAACATACTTATCAACAACTTGGAGACACATGCTATAAGAATATAATATTGCTCCTCTATGCAATTTGTTTCTGAACAATGTTACCATGTATTCATGCCGTGGTAGTTTATTTCAAGCACGAGATCCATGGCATGTAAATCTCGCGCAAATTTAATTTGGATACAGCACGCAAAATAAAAGTGCCATACTCCATAATAGGAAACAGTGAAGGAAGTGTAAAGCTTATAACTATTATAAGTTTTATTGTTGAAATAAATAACTGCAGCTGTATTTCATCTTAACTACTCTATATCCTCATAGCAATAAAGAGAAACACAAGGAGTTATTTCCCTTGACTCAATATATTATTATGTCATATATTTTATGTATCATTATAACGAGAGGACTTAGACAAGCAAAATAGAATAAGCAGAAATTATGGTGGCTGATTCGGGACATCGTAATATCTCTTTGTTAAATGGGAAGCGAGATTGCGATATTACGATAGCACGGTGCGATATCACGATATCACGATTCCATATCATCGCGCTATCGTGTTATCACTTCTTGCTATCGTGGTATCGCATCGTGGTATCGTGATATCGCAATATCGCTTCCCATTAAACGAAGCGATATTACGATGTCCCGAATCAGCCACCATAGGAAATGGAAGAGTTACGGCTTTTGGCTCTCCACTCATCGAAAACGTTTTGAGAATCGAGGTGCCCCGAGTTTTTGTGTTTTATTTCTAATTCAAAGCACAAAACTTTTTATATAATGGCTGTCAAACAGTGATACACTATTTATCACGATATCGACATAATCATCACGGTGAGTCGACTTATCGTGATATCGCAACAATAATAACAGGCATATGACACACTATCCCTAACCTACCTCAACATCATAACCAGTTCTGGAACTTTTATCAACTTTGATGTTATTAGCGAACAGGGCAATGACCAGAATTTACATGACAAGTGTGGTCGATGAAACAGATGACTCTTACGTGTCATAGACATCTATTGTGATTCTGATAGTACTATTTCAGGGGTCTGCTGGTTAATCTGTCTTTTGTTTATATTACAATTGTTTTGTCTGTTTTGAGTTCAAATCACATTGTTTTGTTGATATTGTCTTGTTGTTTTTTAACATACCTTGTTCAAGAATCTCGAATAAGCAATTCTATAGCATAAATATTTTGTAGGTTCTCGTTTATATCATCATTTAACTTTCGTGAACATTTTAGATGTGGAAATGCCTGATTCTTTGCAAAAGAGTTTATATCACGCCATCTTATGATAAGAAATAGACCAATACTTTTTACGGACAATATGCACAGTGCATTCTGAAGTTTGCTAAGGATATTGGATTTTCTAAATTGCTAGATCAGGATCTCTGAAGATGATAACTTTACATGATATATGTTGATCGGCTATGAATTAAGTTTTTGTAACTATCGTTTTTGGGCGTGTATATAGTCATTCGCACATATTATTTATGATATATTTTCAAGAAGGGTCTGAAAAGGTACTGATCATTCGTCAGACTTACTTAGAAACAAAGTGTTTGTCATGTATAGATGTATGCTACCTAGTGGCGTCTGTACGACAGTATACACAGAGGCGGTCCTTACCCAATCTGCTTACACATTGATAAGCGGTGTAGGAGGGGACTAAGCAGTCACTCGTTAAAGAAGTGTGTTTTGTGAGGTTCCGTACAGAGAACGTCTGTCTGTTAGTTGTGGTAACAGACCTGGCCTTCGTCTTTTGTTTCTTGCAGGATAAGGTAAGAGTTTTTAAGTTAACTAGAAATTATTAATATACATCAGAGACATCCGATGTTCAATATATATCAAATATGCCATGTAACCGCCCGAATCGACCTAAATTGTCCAATAATAACATTATAAAATATACATTTTCATTTCAGCGAATTTGGAAAGGTGATTGAATTGAGTTATATCCGCATGCTAATTTTCAGAAAAATATCTTTGATATGTGTCATGAGTTATTTTTTTACGTCGATAAAGTTGCTACCTTAAGCAATATGCGCAATCATCGGAGTTTTTTTCAAATGATGTTTTGACACACGACGCACAGATGCACCACTTTCAGACAGTTGAACATAATCCAGCGTGATGAGACAAAACATCCTCAGAAATAAGTACAAGCGTCCGCTGATACAGAAAAATGAAAAATCAAACTGGATCAAAACTGCTAAGATCTTACGATTCCATCTTAAATTGATAATTAGAATGTCGATGACTCCTATGTATATTGTATGAATGACTCTCTCTCTTTCTGTCTGTCTGTCTCCCTCGCTGTCTGTCTCTGTCTGTCTGTCTGTCTGTCTGTCTGTCTGTCTGTCTGTCTGTCTGTCTGTCTCTCTCTCTCTCTCTCTCTCTCTCTCTCTCTCTCTCTCTCTCTCTCTCTCTCTCTCTCTCTCTCTCTCTCTCTCTCTCTCTCTCTCTCTCTCTCTCTCTCTCTCTCTCTCTCTCTCTCTGTCTCTCTTTCTGTCTGTCTGTCTTTCTTTCTGTCTGTCTGTCTGTCTGTCTGTCTGTCTGTCTGTCTGTCTGTCTGTCTGTCTGTCTGTCTCTCTCTCTCTCTCTCTCTCTCTCTCTCTCTCTCTCTCTCTCTCTCTCTCTCTCTCTCTCTCTCTCTCTCTATTGTAATTTTGTATCTAAACAAGTTATTTTGTCCTGTCATTATGTATTTTGTCAAACTTTATGGGGAAAGGGCTCTATATAAGTTGGAAAACTTGTGCCCAATTCCATTGAAATTGTCCAATAAAATATGTTTAAATCGTAAATAAAAAATCCTACATCAGTGTCAGTAACACGGTGATGGTGAGGCGTTACTGAGTTACATACATATGACTGTATTTTAGATAATGAAAAATACGTTACTTACTGATTAGTGATAATTTCATGGGATCGCATGTCCAATCTCGGCTAAGGACGTCATGAAATTATTTTTTGTCTTTTTTTTTTAAACGTATACCTTAAATAAATAATTCTGATGGAATTAATCTTTTGTTTTGTCTTTTCTTTCACATTCCCAAGTTCTCAACGTAATATTCACCGCCAGCTACATACATGGTAAATACACCAGTATGTTATATATTATGTTCGGACACGGTGACTCCAAATGCACGTTTTCCTGTTGTCATTACACTGTATTTACAAACCGACCAAGGCCGTAAAGTGAAATAGTTGCGGTAAAGCGTCACACCTCGTGTACAAATATGTCGTAATCTGTGTAAGCATTATAGAGATACTCTACATGTAAAAGAAAAAACATATAAAATGTTTATGCAGTGTCAATGTTTTGTTTCACATGAATTGTTCAAGTGAAAACACATTAATACATTCTTCTTCATGGTACCTCCTCATGGAATAGTGAAATATATACCACGTGTTTGTTTGTTACTGATAACACCGTTTTTGTATGTTGATGTCAGTCCAGGTGATATCACAAGTAATTTGTTTTGGAAGAGGGCTTAAATGATGTGGTAATAATCCTGTTGCCGATGTTTATTGCAATACGATGTGTTTGAATCGCATACATGTCCCAGAAAGTGATTTACAGTCCTTTTCAAATTTGTGGTGGCTGGAACGTGACATCGTAATATCGCTTTATTTGGTGGAACGCGATATTGCGAGACCACGATAACGCCAAGCGAGACCACGATATCGAAGCGAGACCACGATAACGCCAAGCGAGACCATGATACGGCGGTATGGTGGCCTCGTAATATCGCGTTCCATTAAACAAAGCGATATTACGATGTCAAGTATCAGCCACCGTACACATTTATATGTTTTAGCGAATCCGCTTATCGCTGTCTGACTTGAACATACATATTGTTGGCCAGGAAGAAATGCTTTTTATTTTCTACGAAAAAAATTGAGAGTCCCATTAAGATATCCGGATTGAGGATTTCCCTTATAAGTGACATAAACAGCTTACATGGCAACTTATCAGCCCTAGAGTCCTGATACAAGCCATCTGGTCATATAATGATAATAATAATACACACGCAAAATGTAATGCTTTTTTTTAAATCGAAAATTACAAATATTTACTATATTACTTTATGTTCCCATTAACTTTTCACCCGTGACCTTGAATTCACGCAGAATTCGATTCTTTCTATCATTTCGCCAGTTTGGCGACCTATCCTTCCTGACATTTACGTTGTACAGCGTTTAAACAATTGTTGTTGTTGTTTGTTTGTTTGTTTTTTTATTTTAACTAAACCTATTTCCTTTGTTTTTTCTTCCGGCTGAATTGCACATCCTTACTTGTATATTAATCAGGGATTATGGTTTCTACCAACGCTGCCATCTGTTATTTACATTTAGCTACTGACCCGACGGAATCATGAAATTTTCGATGAAAACACATACGGAAGGGAGATAACTATTTAAACGTGTCGTATACCAACTTTTTGAGAGCTAAGTTCCGGTGCCTGTGTCGCCCGATTGTTGCGCTCACACTATATCCTTTATTGTTAAAAATGCACTCAGTATAGTTTGTTGCTTTTAATTTTTCGTCAGTCTAGTTTATGTGGGATGAAGATGGTCAATCTTAATGAAATATTTCCAATTTGAACGGGAACTGAGTATCTAACTGGAGTATTAGTAAACTTTTTCGTAATGAGTTTATAATGTTCACATACAGAACTAAATTTGTCGACTAGGTGCAGTTATTGAAGACACCAGTTCGAACACGATACAGCGATAAGTTTACAGGCATTGAGTAATACCGGAGAGGCAGAACAGAGAGTATTTTACACGAAGAAGTGTCTTACAAAACATAATTGGATGTATAGCCAAAACCATAACGGGAAACTGGGATTGGGGTAGGAATAACAAAATAAGAAACAGGTAAAAAAGCAGGTAGTAAAATTATACACACGGGAGTTGATAGGGGGTTAGGAGGGGAAGGGAATAGAGATACCGAGTGTTGAGGTGAATTAGTAACCTGACTTGACTCTGCTCACTCAGTTATCATAGGTAATGATACATGAAGACAATTGATGTGGTACTTCAGACGTAATGGAATAGAACTAAGGAGTTTGTCACGTCATTCTAACCTACGTTACACACACATGTGTATTATAGAGACTAGCACACACACACATGTGTAGTATAAAGACTTTTACACACACATATGTGTATTATAGAGACTAGCACACACATATACGTAATGGAATAGAACTAAGGAGTTTGTCACGTCATTCTAACCTACGGTACACACACATGTGTATTATAGAGACTAACATACACATATGTGGGTACTTCCGGTTGAAAGGTCGTGACAGTCTCCTGTTAAGCATACATATCATAAACTGTTCTAACAGAATATTATAGATCCCGTACATTGTAAAGGTGACATGTGTTACTTATATATGCGAACAGTATCTCTAAATTTAAGAAGAAATAATCAAATTACTACTATTACAACATATACATGTAGGCAGTGATATTATTAATTACCATCAGAGAGATAGATATTGTACAATCTTTGTGTCATTAATATTGTACAATCTTTGTGTCATTAAACAGCAATTTTTAATATTAGTTCTAAACGCTAATACTGTTCCTTGTCTACCCTTTGATCAATAATGATTCCTTAGTTTCATATATCCTCTGTCGGAAGCTACATTTTGTTGATAGATTTATTTGTTTATGTTAGTTTTTTTTCTTTTGTTTTGTATTTCTCGAAATAAACATGAACATAATTACAGTTGTCATATTCTTCAGTGAAAAACGATAGAGCTCATTCATTTGTATACAGGTACTGAGGATCAATGTGTTTGATTTTTGTTATTTCTCTCCAGAACTTCACCAATTAAAAACGTAGATAAATAATCCACCCTGTGTTGTGTGGTTTTGGGTGTTGTTTCTCATGTTTAACTTCAGAGAGGAAATAATAACGTTGAAAGTGAAAAACCAATTCCAAATGAAATCACATTTCTCATTATTATTTATCATGCTCCATATCTGAACCATTTTTGACAAGGGCTGCAAAACGTGGTTATTCTGGTTGTTTTTTCATCTTTTATCATTTTTGAGATCATGTTTTGCCCAGTAAGGATTAGAGAGCATCAGATAATACTAACGATATTCTCTCCCTCGTTTTTTTTTTTTTTTTGAAAAAATCACACAAAGTTTAGCCTCATGAAAAATATGGGACTTAGTATCGTTAAAAGCATTTTATCACTACAAGGCCAGTTAACGAATACTTGATAATACTGAATGAAATGTGATAGTTCCATGGTTACTACAATAATTCCTATATGTTCAGCTAAACATACTTATTCATAACTCTACATCAGTCATTTCCATCATTTATCAGAATGGCGTCCACCACTCATACTGTGTGGGTTACCACAGGAGACAAGAAAAATGCCGGGACGGATGCAAATGTATCCATGCGTTTCCATGGTGGAGAAGGAAAAGCGAGCACTGACGTCATCACCTTGGATAACTTCTTCAGAAACGACTTTGAAAGAGGACAAAAGGACACATTTTCGGTGACCGCGACTGTAGTCGAGACCATCGACAACATTGAGCTGTGGAGAGATACTGCTGGTCTGAAAGACGAGTGGTATCTGAATACAGTTGAAGTGTTGTGCAGAACATCCGGGCGAAAATACATTTTCCCAATCTTCCGGTGGATCAAAGCAGACTCTCACTACCGCATACGTCATCTTGATACGTCACTTCCGTCTGACACTGATCCATTCAAAGAACAACGTGAGAGGGAACTTGCAGAAATGAAGAAATTGTATGAAATACACGAGGAGTATCCAGGACTTCCCGGGCAGGTAAATTGCAAATATCCCAAAGTTGTTTACTTTTTAATATCACTATATTGCTTATTCTTCCAATCACAGAATGTCACACTTTTTTTCAATCGGTTTTCCCGCCTTTATATTTTTTTTCATTTTCCGCATTTTATTACACATAAACCTTGCAAAATATAAACCCGGCGGGATAAACTTTCTTGTTATCTTTTTGATTTATTTAGACTCACCTTTCACATACAGTTTTGTTTCTCCATTAAAATGCGTTTTATTATTTTCTTCAGGTGAAACATCTACCTCCGGAGGAAAATTTTTCTGAGGATTATAAAGTATGTAGTAAGTCCGTAGATTTATTATAACGGTATTGTTTGAAAGTTGTTTTTAACATCAAATTCAGGCTATGTCATAAATATGATTTATTCGTACAGTTCCTGTCTAGACTGAAAGAGCATACATTCGTAAATACTGTATAAGAAACGACATATATTTCATATTTCTTGAATGATGTAAAACTCATTTGTAAAACAATATAGAAACGTTGGACTTGTGGGAATGTGTTAAGTTTATTTTAAGGTTATTTTGAGATTTCGGGATTTCTTTGGCTGTCCAGGATTTACAGGACAGTCGATGACAAAACAGCAGCAGATATTTACCTGACATATCCTTCAGGAACCTCTGGTCGTATTTCCATAAGCATATTAATGACCTGTTGCAAATTGATCTTATCGTGTCCGTCTTCTTTAAGTATGGACATGTTGAATATTTTAACATTCAGCTTAAATCTCGTATTATCTTGTGCGGTGTCGAGGCATTTCGTGGCATATTATTACCTTGCTTTGATGTGGTGATGTGATCTTAAATTTGAGATGGCCTTATAGAGAGGTTTCACGGTATTAAAGGTGCATATATTTACACTCAGATATTTTTGTAACATGCACTATCATTTCAAACTTGATGTTTATTTTTCAATTAAACTGTTTTTAAAAACTTTTATTTCATAAACATAATGGATGTTTATTTTAATATGTAGTGGGACTTAGACAAGAAGAAAATAACGTTGAAAATAACTTCGAAGATACAAGAATACTTCACTGGTACATGGAAAAATCTTGAAGACCTAAAAAATGTTTACACCAAGGAAAGTCTCTTTATACCCGACGTAAGTTATCCTTCTTTTTTTCTTTTAATTTTGTTTGTTTGTTTTCTGTTCTGAAATGCCGTGATATTAATAGCCTATGATTAACCTATTATGACTAAAAGGTAATACCAATTTTGCTGTCGGTTGCTATTATGAACATGCAATATAATGTTACACAGAGCGCAGCCCACTGGCGGGAGGATGAATATTTTGGAAGTCAGAGACTGACGAAGGTCAACCACTCCTCCATACGTCTCTGTACGTCGATCCCAGCAAAGTAAGCATGATATATTGTATACATTCTGGTATGTTGATAAAATGTTGTAAATGTCACGTTTTCACAAAACTTTCATACATCATTCACAAATATTGAATAAAGGTTTTGAGCAATATCAGCCTTCATGCAGTTATTATCTTCAGATTAGTATTTTACGCTAAGTCTCCCGTTCATCCCTAAAGTAATATATGTAAAAAATCGATAGTATGGTATTGTATATTCGTGTATGTTCAAGAACAAATAGGCAAACTGTGTGTGATAACATTTTGTGTTGTTCATATGAATCAGTTTGGCAGTAACTGACGACATGGTCAAGCCAATCATTGAGGACCTTACTCTTCAGCAAGCAATGGATGCCAAGCGTCTATTCTACATCGACTACAAGGTTCTTGAAGGCGTACCGTGTTTAGAAGGCAGAATGGTACATAGTTAACAATATGTGGACACCAGTAGAGATGCTTGTTTAGACAAAACATTGTATAAAGACACGTGTGAAAGAAAACGGACTTAGAGGAAGTAAACTGCGTTAATATATGAAGAAATGTATCATACACGTATAACTATAAATAAAAATGAGTGTCGTAGAGTTGCCATAATCTTACATGCCACGTGTTAATCGTAAGGAATATTGACGCCTGTTCCAGTGTATACCAAACTTACAATATTAATCATTCATCTCCATTATCAGACATTTGTTTTAGTTTTTGTAAATCAGTTTTGATAGTAAACCTTCCGAATTTCTACGTTTTAGCCCCGTGCCTCACTGAAACAAAAGAAAACTTCATTCGAAACCATTACTTATTTTTCGTTTCATCCATTACTTACTCATTTATGATTGTTTGCACCATTCTTTGTTTATTCAATATCTTTACAGGTCTGTGCTCCGATTGCACTGTTTTTTGTCAACAAAGACGGAAAGTTGATGCCAGTTGCCATACAGCTGCAACAGACGCCAGGACAGGACAACCCGGTACATCATTTACTCTGTAATCGCTATTATGTGTAAAAACAATGACTACATTCATCCTATTGATCCATGCATTTCGTCATAACGTCACGTCTGCGTAGTAAGTGGAAACGTTCATAAACCGTATCAGATGTAGAACCATTGCATAAACGTATATTTTATCTAGTTACGTCATTATGTTTACAGGTGTTTTTACCTACAGACCCAGAATACACCTGGATAACAGCTAAACTATGGTTTAACAATTCTGACTGTTCCTATCACCAGGCTTTCTGTCATCTTGGTATGTATAGGCTGTTTAAGTATATTTTGGTTCCATGTCTTATAATTCAGAAAACAAAGTAACAGGCAGTTATGTTCTATAGATTTATAGATGATTTAATTAAACCTTACATCCTTCTCGAATTAGAATGGAACAGGTACGTGCTTTCAGATTATCCTTTGATAAATAACCATTGCACAATCTTCATATTCGTATAGGTTCTACACACTTCATGATGGATGGTGTGGCAGTGGTAACAAACCGTAACTTGTCCAGGTCTCATCCAGTCTATAAGCTCCTCGCTCCACACTTCCTTTACCTGCTGGCTATTAACACGTATGTGTCTTTAAACAATCTATGTGACTTCTTATTTTGTGTCGTTGTGTATTTATTTTAAAGAAAAATATAAAAAAAAAACTATGCTTTCCAGTGATCTTTGCAGTGTTTGATTTCATCTTTATTCTTGATACCATTTTTCATGTTTTAGACGAGCGCTAGGAAACCTCGTAGGCCCTGGAGGTTGGTTTGACAATGCCACGTCGATCGGCCGTCTTGGAACGTTTGAAATTATCAGGAGAGTGTACGTAAAACAATCGATCGTGAATTGGTTAGATATGTAGACATCTCATCGACAAGTTCGTGTAAGCAGTGTTTGATTTAGCTGCATAATTTTCACTGTGCATAACGATAAAATTGTGATTGATTGGAGTCTGATGCGTTACATTAATTTCATCAACTTGTGTTGTAGAATAAGTACATGGAGAATGGATGTTGAAGGGACCCTACCTAAAGAACTTGAAAGCAGAGGCGTGAGTGTTTTTTTTCGAATATTGTCATGGAAAACAGAAGAACTTGGAATTAGCAAACAGAATCAGTTTCAAACTCTACAATTTATAAAGATTGTGTTAATGCTGGATGCTGTTTTGTAGCTACATTTACAGGTGTAAGATGAAATAATGGTGTTATAAATGATGTATATTAATTAGTATTTACATTTAAAGGTTTTGGATGAAAACGTTTTACCTGGGTACTACTATCGGGAGGATGCCTTACCTCTTTACGGCATCATCAAGAAATACGTCAGTAATTATTTAGCACTTTATTACGGTAAGCATTGTGTTTTGCTACACTTCATTTTCACAAACGTATATATATTTTTAGGGTCAGAAATGAGCAGATATCACAACAGATCCAACTCTAGAAGACATCATTGTTCTAAAATGCTATATCAACGAATAGATGTAACATATTTTAGATTTTGTAGACTGCGAAATATCAGTAGTAATTGACAAAGCTTTGTTTCATTTCATGAATTGTACGAAGCCTGAATCACGTTCGGTTAAGTTTTAATGATATAAATAAGGATTGAATCAATGAGAGATATTTGTTCGTTATGATGAACATTTTAAACAATGGCAAGATGAAACGAACGTTTAAAAAAATTGAAATTCCCGCCAAAATTTATAAAATAAGGATAGAAGAGTGCTTTATTGGTGACACAAACCCATATTTGGGCAAAATCAAACAAAATACTCATTAAGTTAATCTTGATCGTTTATTTCAATTCTAATCAAATTTGATTATGTTTTTATGCAATACTGAGCAAATTTTCAGAACTGTTTGTTTGGCTTCAGCCAGGGTCTGGTGTTGTATGAAGAATAAATTGTAAATACTCGACATACCTGACCCCTAAAGATTCCAAAATTATCAGATATATGTTAATTACAAGTTTTTATTAACTGATTGGGCTAATGCACTTCCCCATTCGGGATATGAGTTCATTTTAAGATTTTTCTCCGTCGTCTCCTACAACTTATACTTAAGGCCCTTTACATCACTGACGAATCCTAGAAGAACAAAATAGCTTATGTTGGAGTTCAATCAATTGATTGGCTCTATTGTACCTTATCTGAATTTGTATTCAAAGACCCTTTGACTTTTGTGTATTTAATAAATCTTTTTTTCAAGATTTAAGGCATAAAACTTAGCATTGCAGCATATGTGGATCGTTCAGTTAAATAAAGATATTCCTCAGTAAAGTAGATAATAGACTTCATATAAAAGATATTCTCAATATGAAAGACAGATTTGCAATATTCACATTCCGCATCATTAATTTTCCGTGAAATGGAAAGTATTGGCATATATGTTAAATATATACTTATGACTACTTATAAGCCACTTTACTGGGGATTTCCTACCTGGGAACAAAACAATTACTACGTATATCCGGATGTATCTTAATACGGATATAGAGATTCGTCATCCGAACTGACATATCCCATCTCAGTGTAAACTGTATTATTCGCATGTTTCGGATCTTATTTTGGAATAATCTTATTTTCTCTAGACTCGCCACAAAAGGTACAGGGAGACAATGAAATCCAAGGCTGGGGCCATGAGCTCGTGAAACCGATACTGGATGGAGGATGTGGACTAAAGGTACACGGTACACACGCATGCGCCTGACATGACTGTCAAATATAAGTCTTTTGTAGGAAATTGTCAGGTCAAAGAGTCATCGAGAGAGAAAAAAAAATCAAGAAATAACAGGAAGTTAATGATAGTAATACCTACATTTGTTTCCTTTAATAGATCACTTTCACAGTTTCTCTGATTGTTTTACAACGTCTCAAATCATTTAAAGAAAGTGATTTTAGACAATCCTTTCTTTTTATATCAAAACGATTTATAACTTGAACTAAAAAAAAAACATCTCAGATACTCATCCACCTACAACAATCCAGGATACACTGAAAAATATTGCCGATAATTTCCACAAAATGATATCGTACAGTTTTGTAATACGTAAAAGTGATGTTTTGGTTGAAGAATACATAATTATATACAGGGTGTACCTGGGGACGGCAAGTTCCAGACTGTAGATCAGCTCAGCATATGTTTGACCAACATCATTTTCACGTGCAGCGTTGGTCACGCTGCGACAAATTTCGCTCAGTATGACCAATATGGCTTCCCTCCAGCCTACCCCGGCGTAATGGCCGGCAAACCCCCCACGGACAAGGTTAGTGTTATATGTTGCCGTTAGATATGGAATTTGTACCAATAGTATAACCAGTTCATGGAGAAATTTAGAAAATCGTGCATAAATTAAAGATATTAAAATCACATGTTTCGATTTATGAAATTACAGAATTAAGATCAAATGTAAAGTAAAGTTTGAATTTCTTTTTTCATTTAAATCAAATGACACGTTCATTTTTCCATATAGTCGCCCTTGACAGAAGAGTGTGTCCTGGCTGCCTTGCCAGATAAAGCTACGACTCTTGACACAATGCTCATAACCAAAGTTCTCAGCGACAAGGGTACCAATAGTCTCGGCGACTTTGAGGTCAACTACATATTTGACCCTGCAGCTCTCGCAGTTGTTGAAGAGTGAGTATTTGCAATTGTTTTTAACTTATTCGATGGTAAGTTGTATGTATAATGCTTTCAATACATGTATAAAATTAAATCATTTAAAAAAACAAATCCATTCGACCACACTCTTGTTTTAACTGATCAGACAGGAATAATAAAATTTAAACTTGACATTGGAACAATATCCACGAAAATAAGATTTCCTTTAATGGTGACCATCCCCATTTAGATTTTGAAATTTCCTTCCATCACTAAGCTTTTCCCCAGGCACTCCAACGCTTCAAACTCCGGACCCTTAGTATCACTGACGAGTCTTAGAAGAACGTAACAGCTGATGATGCAGGTCAATTTGTTGTTCGGCTCCATTGTATCTAACTCTAAATATTTATCAAAATGTGTTATGCACATTTGTATTCAGATCACATACTTCCAGTTTGTCAAAATTCTATTCTCTCGCTTAAAAGGAAATAGTGAAAAAATCAGACACGCGAAAATGACCGGTATTCATATTTCTTCCGATGCATATTTAGATCTTGGTATGTAGGGTTAGTAAAACAACTATATTGCCTAAATTGTATCTTGACATTCACGTTTAATAACATTTAACACGTGTAAATGAGGCCTTGTACTTGAGTAGTTGTAGAGATGTTATGATTAATTTCAAATGAAATTGCCGTAGAGACCGTGATTACATCACACAAAATCTACCCTTGTTATCTTCAGTTTTCTTCCATTTGCATAGTTATTCTTTCAGCTTGTGAAATTATTATACGCCTGGTTTAATATTATTAATAGAAATTCAAACTTTATACAAACATTTGATGATGCCAATACGTCGTAAACGATGTAACAATATATGACGTCACTTTTTTTCAGTTTTCGTCATGACTTAAAGAAGATATCTCTGATAATTAGAGAAAAGAACAACAAGCGCAACCCGCGTTACCCGTGGTTGGATCCAGAGGAGGTTCCGAACTCCATAAGTATCTAAACCATGACTCCGGAATTTGTAACGTTCATTGTCAAGTGTTTTTGTTTGGTTATAATGTGTATCAATTCTAACAATGTTCCCTGACAATTTTAAGATATATGATTATCTGTTTGTATCGTCAAACATGACAATGCTTGTGAAAAAATAAAATGTATCAAAAATTACGCCATCGGACAACCCAAACATTGTGTGAACCATATAAACACAACAAAACAATACCAATGATAGTTTAATTGTTGTTCTGTATCTGACACACACAAACAACACACAGGAATATTAGCATTGTTGTTCAGTATTTTATACACACAAACAACACACAGGAATATTATCATTGTTGTTCAGTATCCTATACACACAAACAACACACAGGAATACTCTCGTCATTGTTCAGTATCTCATACATACAAACAACACACAGGAATATTAGCATTGTTTTTTAGTATCTTATACACACAAACAACACACAGAAATATTATCTTTGTTGTTCAGTATCTTATACATACAAACAACACACAGGAATATTAGCATTGTTGTTCAGTATCTTATACACACAAACAACACACAGAAATATTATCTTTGTTGTTCAGTATCTTATACACACAAACAACACACAGAAATATTATCTTTGTTGTTCAGTACCTTATACACACAAACAACACACAGAAATATTAGCTTTGTTGTTCAGTACCTTATACACACAAACAACACACAGAAATATTAGCTTTGTTGTTCAGTATCTTATACACACAAACAACACACAGAAATATTATCTTTGTTGTTCAGTATCTTATACACACAAACAACACACAGAAATATTATCTTTGTTGTTCAGTATCTTATACACACAAACAACACACAGAAATATTATCTTTGTTGTTCAGTATCTCATACATACAAACAACACACAGGAATATTATCTTTGTTGTTCAGTATCTTATACACACAAACAACACACAGGAATATTATCATTGTTGTTCAGTACCTTATACACACAAACAACACACAGAAATATTAGCTTTGTTGTTACACACAAACAACACACAGTATCTCATACACACAAACAACACACAGGAATACTCTCGTCATTGTTCAGTATCTCATACATACAAACAACACACACAGTATCTTATACACACAAACAACACACAGAATACACACAAACAACACACAGAAATATCATCTTTGTTGATCTTATACATACAAACAACACACAGGAATATTATCTTTGTTCTTCAGTATCTTATCCGTTTATTTTTTTATTTGTTTGAATTTGCATTCTCATCTCCATACTAATCCAGAGCTTATAAATTTTTTAGCTGATATGATTAATTTTATTCGTTAAAGCCAAATCAAGAGCTTTTATATCATGTCTTTTATCATATTTTTATTTCCGTTTTTCATCAGAACGATATTAACGTATTAATTTTCATCAACGAAATTGACAGAATATGCTCCGATGTTGGTAATTGATGTACTGACCTACATACAAGCCATTCTTCACAACTACGAATAAGATTTAACATTTCCCTTTACTAACTTAGTCTCGGGGTTACAAATGATAAATCTGTAAGCTTTAAGCTTTACCTTAAGCCTATCAGAAGTTATGTACTCGAAAAACAATACAAACATGACAGGAAATCAACTTAACTCTGAGAAAAAAAACCCGAATCGAATATACAATAACATGTCCCTTCCTTCGTTAAGTGGAGTTTATATGGCCCATACCAGACGAGCATCAGACAGACATCAAGACACCAGAGACCGAGGGTTGGCAGGTTTAATTTAAGCATCCCCGATTTCTTGCTATTGGTATCAATCACGCTTCTATTTGGACTTTAAAGTTCCAGTACATACAGATTTATATTCTGATGAAAGCCACTGAAAATGGTAATGAAATACTGAAGTCGCTAAACAACAGGAATTTTCAGCAATACCTCCCCCACCCAAAAATATGAATCAATAAAGATAAATAGATGAATAAAAATATATAAAAACATTTTAAAAATCTGATTAATACTAGCTGTATATTGCTTGATTAATAGTTTTTCTGGATCATGAAAGAGCAAAATCCGCTGTTTTGAGTACCCTGGAGCATAAAGTTCCCATTATGTTGCCCTCATTTTTGGGTTTGTATACGGACAAATGTATATGATATATTTCATGCTGAATCAAGTACTGCTTTCGCTTCCCAGTTTGAATGACTGCATAAGGTACAAGATATTCACACTCACGTGACTTCAATTGTAATCGTTCTTACATTGTGGTATTTTTATCCTATTTTTTGTCATGACCAATGAGCTATTAGTTCATTTGACAATGTTTATTTTCTGCTTAAATACCAAAAATAAAAGATTAACCAAAAGTATGTTCTCATGTTATTGATGGTAGTCCTTTGTGGATGACCACGTGAACAACATTTCCCTAGTACAATTACCAGGTGCTAAAGGTGTTTGTTGAGGTTTACAGAAAATACGAACATTACATAACGAATCAACGGACAGAGTAATCGGACAAGGATGTTTAAAAATGTCGGGTTATAATTGCACAACTACATTCATCTCCCAATTTTTACTGTTTTTGGACCCGATGAAATCGTACATGAATATAATACGGATAATCTTTAATCAAACTCAAATTCAATATAACTAGGATAAAAATGAAAGCACAAGAAGAATAAGGCCAAGATTTCCTGAAGAGTAAGTGTCGTCTGCTTCATCGACGGCGCTCGCCATGTAAACCTTAGTCAATCTAAGTCAGTAATGGAACAACGGAAACATCAGGGACACTAAAGAGCGTCAAATACGTCCAGCTTCATATCACACAAAAAAAATGGAGGGGAAATTTTACGTGGTCATGATCAAAATGAAGTTTGAAATAATATATCATAAAAACTATTTATTAGCAAGAATGATTTTTTGTTTTTGTCAATGAATAATTCATAAAATATGATATTAAAAAAGAAAGTTGAAACTATCCACCTACCGAAATTTACATTGATTTTGCTTACTACTCTCCTGAGTATTAACAACATTTAGATCACTCCTGTGACTGTCAGTCTGTTTTACTGCTAACTCTCTTTCACCAATCATAACAGTCATACGAGTATCATTGTCTGTTTATTGTATTTTCTTCAACCCATAGAATTCTAATACAGCGAATTTAAATGTATGCCCTGTCTACTTGCCTTTTTTCAACAACATGCTGACTGTGGTTTTATCGACATGAATGTTGTGGGTGTTTCACCAGTGAAAGCTTGATAGAGCAGTCACTACGAATGCACGATGGCCGATATTTTCGGACACTTTCATTTCCTTTATATTGAAAAGTGAACTTTTGCATTTTACTCTTTTTTATCACTTCTACATACACTTCATGAACAAAAGTATACATTTGTGAGGTACTCATTTCGGTGTGCATCTGTTTCTTATTTACAGCCAAAATTAATTAGATTAATTAAATCATGTGTAATTAAAAACTTCTGACATGAAACAAGTCTGTTGTTTTAACAATATACCTTTACCAGTGAAATGTGTCACAAACTAATAACGTTTCATCAGAACTGGAACAGATCAATCATATGTTCCCTGTCTGAAATCTAGATGCCCCTTTGACGTATTTTTGTGGCTTTTTTGGGGTTTTTTTACCGTTTATACTTCATTGTTTTCTAAATTTCGAAACTATAACGACCAGAATTACGTATTCATATCATGAACTATGTATATCAAATAAGAATGTTACCGGTGAAGGTACCCCGATTGAAAACTTTGCGTCTATTAAAACATAATGTTGAAAAGACAGCCTTGTTTACCTTACAATGAGTTAATTACGATACTATTTCATCTTAATTCGTTCCTTTTTCCGTTGTCGTATCCACATTAAACGATTAAAAACCCATCTGATTTCGTTCCAGCATTTTTCTACTCATTATGTTGTCAATCAACTTTTGGCCACTTTTGGTCACCTTTAAATGTACTACGTAACACATTTGACTGTAAAACTGAAAAAAAGTGCACCATAAAAAATGTATCATATGGTAAACTTTTGAACATCATTGAAAATGTCCGGCCGCCGTCGGCCATCGTACATACATTACCAGGTATTAAGGAGATGTTTTACTGGATATAGGGTGAGTCACACGGAAAGGACGTTAATTTGTCATGTTTAAGCGGACGGGTTTATTCACTGATAACGGGACATGCTTTACGATGGCAATGAAAAAAAACCCCAAAAAAACAAAACAGAAAACAAAAATGTTATTTTAAATTTAAAGCGACTATAATGTTAAAGCACTCTACTACGAGAAAACGATATAAAACGTTCTATTTTCCAATAACTCAGACTTTCTATTAATTGCTAAAATTGAAAGTCACTGCAATCATTTTTTTTATCGATATCTTAAAAATTGAGAAGGTAAACATTGCGGTCTTAATCTAATTCATACATTACCGCTCATAACCCTGGTGCTGCGCATGCGTATAAGCCGAGAAAGAAGCAAAATGGCGGACGCAAATACGAAAAGGCGACAAGGACCTAAAATTTACCATACAGAAAGTACCAGAAAGCGTAAGAGGAAGGAGTCAGATCAGAAAAGAGAACAGGCAAGACTTTATATTAGACAGGAGATCGATAGATGGCGAAAGATGAAGGAGGGTCTTGGACTAAAGCGAAGCTGCTGCTTGACTGGTTAGCTTAATGTCAGCCCTATAATTATAACGTATCCGCCTGTCATTTATTATAATCCAATATACAGTGTTTGACGCGTGAATATGTTATGAACAACACTGCTAAAAGTGTTATATGATAAATGTTGAATAAAAATAAATGTGTTAGTCGTTTGAATTTACTATCAACAACGTGTGTTTGTTGTTGACTGCAAGGTGAGGCCCAATTGCGGGTATTCGTTCTAAGTGTAAAAATATGACGGTACTGGTGTTGAAAGGTAAACAATAACTATTAATATGTATAGACAAAGTATCAATTCCTGTGCATTTCTGCACAATGAGTTTTTTCTTTCCCGATTGTAATTACCCCCTTTTGGGCCCCACTAGTTTAGCGCCCATAGATGATTCTCGCACGACAAGCCTGAACAAAACGAATGACTTAAAGTGATTGGAGGTAACCAATTTTCTCAAGAAAATTGTAATAATAGGTCTTGGAAAGATGTTTTGGGAGCTTGGCATAGATTAGATAACTCAGATAACATGAAACCACTAAAGGGGAAGTCACTGTTGCAAACACCTATATGGCATAATGATAATGTAACAATTGGTGGCAAACCAGTTTTTTATCCGAAATGGTATGAAAAAGGCATTTACTTAATAGGAGAATTCATTAAGGACTACAACACAAAAACTTTCTTTACATATGATGAATTTATACATAAATACAACATTGACAGAGACTTTTTAAAATATAATGGCATAGTATCAGCCATTAGAAAATCTTTACAAAACCATGACATTGGGGAACACAAACTAACTCGTCCTGTTCTACCAGTCAACATTGATATATGTCTAAAGAGGGCTAAAGGTTCAAAAGTCTTTTTTATGAATTATTAAATAATATAAACACTATAGTTGCTAAAGGCAAAGAAAAGTGGGGAGAGACCTTTGATTTGAAGGAGGATGACTGGAAGAGTATATATGCAATGCCTTTTCAAATTAATGAAAACTCAAAACTTCAGTGATTAGAGTTTAGAGTATCTCACCATATTCTAACCACCAATTCCTTTCTTTTTTAAAGTAAAACGTGTAGATAGTCCTCTCTGTAATCTTTGTAACTCAGAAAGGGATACCACTGAACATTTGTTTTGGGAATGTGATCAAACTCAAAATCTTTTTCAAAGTTTAGAATTGTTATCAGAATCTCTTTTTATTCCGTTTACTTTAAACAAACACACCCTACGTTTTGGCAAGATCAATACTAAAAATTCCGCATTATATAAAATTGACAATCAAATCATCTCATTAATTTAACAATATCTTTACAGAACTAGATGCCTACACAAGCCACTGAATATTAATGCTCTGAATCTGAATTTTACTATATTTGACCATTATAAAGTTCAAAAGTATCTCTCTCTCTCTCTCTCTCTCTCTCTCTCTCTCTCTCTCTCTCTCTCTCTCTCTCTCTCTCTCTCTCTCTCTCTCTCTCTCTCTCTCTCTCTCTCTCTCTCTCTCTGGTTCTCTCACAGGCTGTGTATTTGTAGATGTGCATGTCTATTTGTCTGTTATGAACGTAAATGTGTATGGGTGTGTGGATGGGCATATACGTAAGGGATTGCATGTATGTGTGATAATGACGAAATAGATGATGATCTAGATGATGATGGGAATGATGCAGGTGATAATAGTGATGATCATCATCATCATTGTTGTCATCATGATAGGATTTGATGCAGGATGATATGAATGTGGCGAAAGTAAATGACTTCGTCACGTGACAAGCCATGTGACTTACTCGGCTTTCTTCGAAATAAACCAAGCGTGAACATGTTTATAAACAATGTTCCGACGCCGAAAATTTGTAGAAAAACAACAAATTTGACATTATAGGCCCGTGTATCGCTTTATCATCGGTATGTTTATTATTCATAAGCCGATTTTTCCATTTCCCGATGTTAAAATCTAAGGTAAAAGCCGCTTTAAGGTTAAGACAAGCGCCAAACATCCGGGTATTAGTATTAGTAGGAATTTGAACAATGCGTGGTTTTTTAATCAAACGTCAGCATATATTATTTGTGGAAACCATCACTCGGGATGCTAAGTTAAATTTATCTGTCTTGGCTGATTTCTTTTTCTTTTTTTCTTTTTGTTCATTAATAAAAAATAAAATCCAGCTAATGTGAGTTTAAATAAGCATTTTGCTATATACTTGGTGAGGTACATGACGTTGAATGCAGCTCATAACGCTCTTGATTTAAGTATAGCACAGACTGATAGCAGAAGAATTTGGGGGGGGGGGGGGGGAGGGGGGGGGGCACATGAAACAGAGGGTAATATGTTATAGTTGTAGACATATATTATGACTCATGTATCTTTGTTGGGTAACCAGGAGTGGCCACGATACATGTCTAATCAGCGGTTTAAACAACACGTTACCAGGTGACGACATATGTTCGATACCTGATAAGTGTGATATATATAGTGATTTGTTGTAGAAAGTTTTGCACGGTAATTGTTATTGGCAGTGTCAACAGAGATACAGTAAGGATACGGTCAAAAACTACATATACTGTAACCATATATCAGGATAAGAGTCATTCAAACTTTTGTACGGTAAGGGTAAAACTGATAAACAGGACGAACAAAATTGTTACTTATGAATATATACAAACAAAAGGAATGGCTAATTTTTACATGTATATTTTTGTCTTATCTATGATTTGGCGCGTTACTTTTTTCGAAATATATTTGTGTTTACAACTTAAACATATTTTCTCGGGGTTGATATCCAACTAAGGTCGGGAGGGTTGAGTTCGTAGGGCAAAATTGTGGCTCTCAATTTTTTTTTTTTTTTTAGCAACATCTTTTTAAATATATGTAGACAATAAGGAGAGAATCACTTTTCTTCACTCTACTGTAGTGGGATTTTTAGGAGTAATTTATTGTTTGAGCAATATGTGAAATAAATCTTCTTCATAACATGTATACATACATATTCACGGAGTTACCTCCCTTCTATTATGATTTAAGAGAGATTTGGAATTGATTGGTGCATATAAAAATGACCGAAACTGTCTTCATCGACAACAGATCATTGAACGATTTCCTTGTCAAAACGTCAGTGACATGGATAACAAGCAGACAAATTAATAAGCCATACATGTTACAGCGAAAAATCTTGAGAAATCAGGAACTTTGTTGTAATGTCCACATCCGCAGACTAAAGCATTCACATTGCATACCAGATACATTGATGTAGTGATTAATGAACACTGTGTGATTAAATTATTCTACGATATTATAAGCATACTTATCTACAACTGGGGGACACCTATACATAAAGTTTTGTTCATCTATCTATAGTTAGCTGAAATAAGCTGCAGATTCGCTTATACGTAATTGACATACCTGAGGTTATCCAGTACCATGTGTTTATTATCAAGTAGGCGGATTTACCATGTGATCCGTACAGCTTCTTATAAGATATTGTGGAGTAATGTCCGCATACGTCACACGAGGCCAAGGACCTCTTTCCTCTTTGGACGCTGTGTTGTTACAAAAGATGTTTGTTTAATTATGACTCACAATCGACACTGGTTGAACTGCTTTTGAAAAGACAGTTTCCTAATCCTCTGGTCTTATAAAATAGATCACAACACCTTATTGACATTTTGCGTTTTACCGTTTTCACGCTTATAAAAGTTGTATAGTAAATTATGATATCAGTGCCGAAATCAGTTGTTTGGAAATTAATGTATGGTTGTTTGTTGTATAATTTTTACCTGTAACCTCGCTTTAATACATACCTGTAATCTCATCTTAATTCTTACCTGTAGCATCATCTTAATACATACCTGTAAAATCGTCTTAATACTTACCTGTAACCTCATCTTAATACATACCCGTAAACTCGTCTTAATACTTACCTGTAACCTCATCTTAATGCAAACCTGTAACCTCATCTTAATTTTTACATGTAACCACATCTTAATACCTACCTGTAACCTCATCTTAGTACATACTTGTTTAGGACATATAATCTACATTTATATAAGCATAACTGCATTTAGTGACGCGGTTGGAGAGATAACTTATCTAATCGGGTTTGCAGCCATCCCTTTGAGATACTTATCATATAATATTCAAGTTTTGATAACACACCTACATTATTCCTAACTTTGATAACACACCTCACAAACTTTGTTGTATTATATATTATTCCTAACTTTGATAACACACCTCACAAACTATGGTGTATTATATATTATTCCTAACTTTGATAACACACCTCACAAACTATGGTGTATTATATATTATTCCTAACTTTGATAACACACCTCACAAACTATGGTGTATTATATATTATTCCTAACTTTGATAACACACCTCACAAACTATGGTGTATTATATATTATTCCTAACTTTGATAACACACCTCACAAACTATGGTGTATTATATATTATTCCTAACTTTGATAACACACCTCACAAACTATGGTGTATTATATATTATTCCTAACTTTGATAACACACCTCACAAACTATGGTGTATTATATATTATTCCTAACTTTGATAACACACCTCACAAACTATGGTGTATTATATATTATTCCTAACTTTGATAACACTCCTCACAAACTATGTTGTATCATATATTATTCCTAACTTTGATAACACACCTCACAAACTATGTTGTATCATATATTATTCCTAACTTTGATAACACACCTCACAAACTATGTTGTATCATATATTATTCCTAACTTTGATAACACACCTCACAAACTTTGTTGTATCATATATTATTCCTAACTTTGATAACACACCTCACAAATTATGTTGTATCATATATTATTCCTAACTTTGATAACACACCTCACAAATTATGTTGTATCATATATTATTCCTAACTTTGATAACACACCTCACAAAT